CAATCAACATATCCCGGAAATGTAGACGAAGTCGCGGCTAAAAAAAAACCAGTTATTTTATGTTAGTTAAGGTATATTAGTAGTTAGTCGTCCTAATGCTATTGAGGGTCTTATTATATTTCATTTTTATTTTTCTTTTCGTCATAGATGCATATAAACAGCCATAAATTTAAAGTCAATATCGAAGTTCAAACTACTGTCACGGATTGCGTCCTATACGAGTTGATATGTTTGCGTATATAGTTTTATTAGTATATACTTTACTTATTAATATAACAATGTCCTACAATGTTGGATTCAAATGTGCTCAACAAGGTAAGAAAGTCAAATGTTACATTCGCCACAGAAGCATCAGTCAACTAACGTACGATTTACATCAAACGACACGAACCGGCGCGCGACGGAGCGGATTTTACAATACAATAAAGGATAATAGATATAAAGTCGATGCGTAAAGTTCAAACTACAGTAGTTTGAGTAGTGAATAATTTTAGAATGTGCTCTGCATTTTTTATTTAATCTTTGGGTTTTCATCATATCATCATACGTACTACGTTCGCCACAATATAAGAGCGATAATCAACTAAAATACGATTTACATCAAACGATACGCATCGGGTGCGCGTCGAAGCGGATTTTACAATGCGGCAAAAGAAATAAAATTACTTTCACGGTAATTCATAGTTCGAATTCAGTTTGGTTTTATGGGATATGAAATATTAAAATTTTTCATTTAGACAATCCGGTATCTGGTCGCGCATTCCGCGGAACGTAGTTGGCTACGCTCGAATTCCGCAGAATGCAGTCATATACGCGTGCGCAATCCACAGAACGCTGCAGTCGCTGCGGGCGCATTTCATGAACATGTATTTTCTTGTTCAGGTCGACAGCATTTAATTCGCTGCCGATGAATGCATCGATCTACGTACACGTGCATTTTGTTTTCCCGACAGAGACTGTAGGTTGCCGCCACGCATTTATTCCGTTGCACTCCAAAGCGCGCCATTCGATATAAATCCTCCACATTAGCGCCGACCTATAAGGATCAATCATATCTGACTACGCCATCTCGAATTACTTTTATTTAAAAATAAAATTAATTTAAAATCATCAACACAGAAGAGACCATTCGTGGATTTCCATTAAAAAAGTCGACCAATCACAGCAAATTTTTATTACTTCTCTCGCGCAAAGTTCTAAAAAAAAAATTATTTGTGTTATCTTACTAATATAAGATCGTGTTTCACAAAAAAGAAACAAACTTCAATATGGTAAAATCAATTACAATATTTTAATTTTAAAAACCAGTTATTTTGATTTAAAATCTACTTTTTGATAAAATTTCTATGGAACCAATCTGAAAACATATTCTTTCAGATACAAGAAAATTATATTTCGAATCGTTTTAAACTGACGGAGTTATGAGATAACAATAAAAAAAAATATCGATCAATTCGATCTCGAACCTCCTTTTTCTAAAGTCGGTTGAAAATTAGACGATGACTGTATTAAAGAAACATTTATGTGAGGGGTCGTATCAAGAGGTGGAGAAACACGCTGGAAATTATAATAAGCGGCAAGAACTCCACCGACAAGAGCGTAGTTCTTAAATAAAAATGAATGAATTAACTTTAAATTAATTTTGCATATATAAAAAAAAAAAAATAGGTAAATCCTCCGCTAATGATATTAATGGGATTTCCTTAGCGCGAGTAAACACAAAAGAAACCAATAGTAAAACATATGTAATATTAAAGATGAGTCAGTAACACGTCATTGTTTAAATAATGATAAACTATTTACCTGACTAATATTATTGCGAAATTGCATTATTATTGTATTTGAATTAAATTTTATTAGAGTATGCGCATTAAACACAAATTATTATAAATTTTATAGCAAATTAATTAGTACACATATAAAGAAAATATTAAAATATTTATGGTAAAAAACAAGTCTATAATCATAAAAATATATAAAAAAATAGTAACTGGTTGCTGTCATACATAGAAGATATGTCATACATAGAAGATTGTACATAGAAGATATATAAGAAAAACTATTATAGGCTTTATGAACGCAATAGAACCCAAAATAATGATTTTTAGCATTTTTGTCTGTTTGTTTTTATGTCTGTACCTTTGTACAAGCTAATCTCAGAAATGGCTTAACCGATTTGAATGCAGTTTTCACTAATGCATTGCCATTTGCTTCACTTAATATTTAGTGTGTTTTATTTCAATCAGTTCATACATAAATAAAAAAAGTTATATCAATCTAAAGAATTATATATAAAATGCTATAAAATAACCGATCTGTTGAATTGGCTAAAACTGTTTTTATTATATGTATTGATTTTCGAGAATTCTGTCTACTCGTGCGAAGCCAGGTCGGATCGTTAGTTTCAAATAATTTCGTGAAATTTTAAAGCAATTAAGCAATCAATAATATCAGTTCTTATTTAGCCTGATATAAATAGATTCACTGTATTGTTCCTTAACATAATTTATGTAATATACTCAGCAGAGATAAAAATACATGAAATAGACAGAGAAAACAATGGACGGACTTATGGATAAGCAATTTCTTATAGGCTACTTTTGCTTGGACACGAGTGATCATAAATAGTTAGTAAGAAGCACGAAAATGTAAAATTTATCTGTCAATACATACATACTATGCATAAAACATTTTTTCATTATGCGGAAGTAGTTTTTTTAATTAGTAAAAATAAAATTTATATTTTTTATTTTTAATAAAATTAAGGATAAAATTTATAATACTATATAATTTTACTAATACAACAAATACATACCATAATAATTTAAATTTTACAGAAACATTTAAAAAAATCTATATCTAAATATGTATTCATAATTTAAATTTTATACTACAACAATATAATATAACACATAAGGTAGTCCAGAAGAGATTGCTTTAGTGGCAAGACCACTTTTTATACTTTATATTTGTAACATATATTGTTTTATATTGCTCAAGAGGTGCAATAAAGAATAAATAAATAAATAATAAAATTATATTTTTTTTTATCTACTCAGATAAAAAATAAATATATACAGAAAAATTCTTGACTAGTCCCTAAATTACATTCATAAAGAATGAAATGTTTCAAAAATTTTATAGATAATAAACTGATTAAATGTATGAAGAAAACTATATATGCACAAATAACAATAGATTACAAATGTATGAAAAGCAGAAGATAGCAAATGAGTGGAATGCATTAGAGAATGGCTATGTTGATAGGTGCAGTAGCATTCAAATGATGCTGGAATATATAAACAAACAGGCTGACAAACATTCTAAAAGTTATTGTTTAGACTTATATTCCTCTCATTAAGATCCAGCATATGAAGTTTTCTTAAACATATCCTATGTACAGATATTGCCTAATTACATTATATATATATATATATATATATATATATATATATATATATATATATATATATATATATATATATATATATATATATATATATTATATATATATATATATATATATATTATATATATATATATTATATATATATATATATATATATATATATATATATATATATATATATATATATATATATATATATATATATATATATATATATATATATATATATATATATATTATATATATATTTCGCATGATGAACAATGATTTTTAGCATTTTGGTCATTATATATATAGAATCTAAATTATGATTAGCAATATGTATGTAACTAATAAATTTTATTTTCATTTTAATACCTAAGAATTACTAATAGACACAACTATTTGTAATATTTAACAGATTATATATCTAGTTATATTGGTCTTACTGTAACTGTCTACAGGAAAAATTTAAGTATAATAATTAAATCAAAATTATTCATATATGTCTCAATTAAGACTTCATTTTTGGTTGGACATAGTGATGACAGCAACACTATACCATCAAGTATAAACTTTACATAAGTTGTAAAACATACTTCAATAATAATTTTATAAAGTTATTAATAATAATTTATAATTAATAATAAATATTTAACTGTAATTTAAATACTATTTATTATTATATATGTATTTAAAGTTTATTAAATAAAATATATTTTAATTTCTTAAAATTGTTTTACACTCAATTGTGTAGAAATTCCTAGAAAATAAGAGAATTTTATATGTTCACAACAAATTCTTTGGGGAATAGACAATGAGATTTGAGTGCTTAAGGCCTCTATCTGTACATACATCTCTTGTTACATGTACTTTTATAACTTGTTTTCTACATGCATAGTGGTTTCAGAGACTCTTGGCTCCTTCAGATAGAATAAAAAAAAATTACCATAGAATAAATACTTTTTTTTTTAATTATATTTTTTAAACAATATGATTACATTGCATCACCAATTAAAAAAAAAAAACAGATAAATATATTAATGTATTAATATAACACATATTATCAAAGTAATTTCATTAGGTAAATTTATCTAAATAATATATTTCTACTCTGTGCATTCTTTTTGATGCCAGCCTCTGAGTGCACTTTGTTTGAACAAGAGATATTACTGACCTCTGACAATTTAATAAGAACATACCTATTATTATTACATATTATTTATTATCAAACTTGTCTGTATTAAAAACTATTATATTACCTATATTGAAACTGGTAAACTACCCAATAATTATATAAGTGTAGATACACTTTTATTAAGTACAAATTACATTTTAGGCGTTACCTAATTTTATATGAAGGTGATTATATATGCCTACATGTAAATTAGTAGGTATTATAAAAACATACACCAATATAATATCACATTTCAAATATAATAATATTTAAATTTAGATATAACTAAACATGTTCAAAGTAGAAATTATATTTTTTTTTTATGAAATTATTATATAACTCAATATTAGATTAATTTTAAATTGGTATGTCAATTAAAATTAAAAATACTGCATTTACATATTATGATATAAAATAAGTAATTGATTCACTTACCTGTTTTAGTCTTTCAACATCAGTTCTGGCCTGTGGGTATGTTTGTTGTGCAGTCACAGATGTCTGGGTATATGTTGGATACTCCAAGTTCACATTTAACATCTGTGCAGCATTATCCCGAGCTTCATAAGCCAACCCACGGATCTCTAGTTCAGATGCAGTATGCATCAATGATTGCAAGTCTAATTCCTGAACATCCACTGAACCCTTGTACATAAATTCAACCAGGAGGTTGATTTCTGAAAATGGGATCCCTTTGAGGATCACAATCGGATGTTGACAAGGGTTGTCCCTGTAAAAAATCACAAAATATTTCATTTTTCTTTTTTGACTTACACATAAAATTTAAAATTATAACACTTTTTTTTGTTTTTTTTTTTTTATTTATTATTTAAGTTCATTTAATCATAATACTTAAATCTTACATTAGATTTTATCATTGCATTAATATAATTATGTCTATTTTCACATAATAATTATTTGAGAGTCCATTATAATATTATTGTGAATTCATTTATATAAATAATATTGAGACAAGACTAAATCCACACATAAAATTATGGCTCTTGACTGTTTACAATAGTACTTACACAGAATTATAAATAACTTCACAAGAAAAAATAATGATGTCATATTGAGCAAATGGTACAAATTTGAATTAGGTAATTATAAGTAAAAGATTTTATGAGTGACCAGTACTGACTAATAGAACACAGTACATTTAAATATATTTTTTATTTTGAAAAATTATGTACACTACCTGAATATCTGTTCGAAATATGGACTGCATGCTGAGAGCACGAGTTTATGTGCCTTGAGGGTCCCGTCCCGGCAGGAGAGCGTGACGTCCGCGAGCGCAGACGATGAGTAGATGGTTGTGAACAGCTGGCTCAAGTTCTGCAGGTGGTTGTTCCACTTCAAGTGGAACGTTTTATCGCTCACCAACCCCTGCATCTGCACCACCACATACACTTATTGAACACAAATCACACAACTTCACGTCTGATGAATAATCGACAGAAAACCGACTCTACTGCGACCGCTACATAAAATTATAATTATTACAATTTATTTTTAGAACGATGCCCGTAAAAAACACTATACGTACGCGGTATGACAGTGTAATATACTATAGGTACGTACCGCCGACGGAATTTAGAACTATAAAATTTTATAATATTTAATACTATTCGGCGTTAAAATGTTTTTATATATTATACTATGCCGGCGCGAATTTCTTACCTCGTATTCGCGTTTCCGACTTCCCAATTTTTCACAAATAACACCGAAACATTTCACAAAATTAAATACAATAATTATGTTACACAGAAAGCCGTGTCGTAAAAAACAGAGTGGGGCACGCCGTGGCCCCCTCCTTGCCCCGGCCCCCTCGCACACAATCAATATACGGAATATGAGAGCGCGGCGCGCCCCCTCGTCCCCCGCATGCTTTATTATACCGTAATTAATATACAACTTTATTGTATTATAGACAGCGCTCATACATTCCAAGCAAGAATGTATCTACTCAATATTAAATATAAGTATTAAGAATACTAACCTACCTAAGTACCTACAAGTAGGTATATTATTACAGTAGATAAAAATAATTATATCACGCTCGCATATAGAAAATAGTTACGTAGAGAGGTATCTTTTATCTCAAAGCATTATTTTATTTATTACTATTTTTATTTAAAATAATAAATTGTTATTGTCTCTTTATAATCACAATTTTAAATATTTTTATAGTATTGTAAATTAAAAAGAATTCAATATATATATATATTTTTCCGGTCGATGATTCTATTTAAGTATGTGTTATACCATTCTTATACATACATACTACACTACAACATGAATAATTAATTAATTTCTTTTCTTTTCTTCGCACACACACATATATACGAGTGACAGAGAATGGAGAATAGGCGGAGGGAACAAGATTCTTTTTATTTTTATTAGATTCCATCCCTTTTCATCTATACGTACCTACATTATGTCAGATGAAAAGCAATAATATAATTGTAAATGTGTGTAGACCGATGTGGAATTGAACAATAGCTAGGTATATTTGTGTGTTTTAACTGTAGCACAGAATACGTAATAGTTATATAGTATCTACATCTTGTTCCTATAGGAATATTCTTCCGCAATCCACACTCGTTCATTGAACTTAGTCCTTTATTTCTTTCATCATAGATACAAGCGCTTGCAATTATGTTAGTTTAAGATTATTATTGAACAACTAAACCTAAATTTACAAAAATTGCAAAATGTATATACATATTGCGTATATTTTATGATTTTTTATGTTATATATGAGTAACGACAAAAGATCACTTTTATGCGAACTTTTAGCAAAGTGGCAAATAAATAGTGGAGGTATAAATTTTGCGCGAAGGTAATAGTCTGATGTGTGTGACAACTTATATTTTGGCAGTACATAGGTATTCAGTGATCACTTTTGTGAAGTTGAAAGCAATGTAATTTTCATATAAAAGTCATACTTTCTTATGATTAATAATCTTCGTAAATTCATAAATTAATAATTATTTTTTGTGGTTTTAATAAGCTGTCATTCACATCATCCTATGATGCAAAAAGTATGATTGTTGTGCCAGTCCTCTACTATTTACACACCGAGTGAATGTAGGTTTCACCGTTTAAAGACATTTTTTTATTAAACATCATTGTTTCTTAGTTACAAAAAAGAAAATTAATTTATAGAAATAATGCCTATTCTTAATCTATGGAGAACTTAAAGTTCTAATTTTAGTTTCTAAATAGCTCAGTAGAGGCAGCTCCATCATTCACTTGCTAACACTTTTAGGTACCAAATTAAAAATTGCTCTTATATATATAATTCTCTATGAGCGCAATTACATAAAGTACAAATAACAAAAGAAACATAAATTTTATCAAACCAAATACAGAACATAAATAAAAATGTAGGTATCATATTCCATACCTGCACGGCGTAGATGATCGATGACTAGAGTTTAATATACATTTCAATTATGCTCTTCTTGAGATAAGAAAAAAATAGGGTTTTTTGTTTCGTCTTTTTCTTTCAAGTTGCAATAAATACTTGTTTGTTTAAGTTATCTGTTCTAGAAATTTTAATAAATTCGTACATGTTATAGGCGATTCAATGGTGCGTACAAAAAAAAAAAAAAACTATTATTTTTTCTTTATGGCAACAAGTGGCAGTGACGTAATTGTTCTTGAACTTTCCTGTCACAATAGTTGTCATCATTCATTCATTTTCTTTCTTGAACTCTGTCAGTCGATTAACTGCAGTTAACAGTTTGTTATTAACCGTACTGCTTTATTGTGGCGTATTCGTGCCGGTCTTGCAAATTCTAGAAATAACATCTTTTTAATTAATTAAGTCTTACTACTGAAGTCTGTTGTACTTGTATATATTCATTGGAAAAATTGAGATTCTATACAATATTTCATATTTTAGTCAATATGGACAAATCCTCAAGTTTGGTCGTAGTAAGTCCAAATACAAAATATACCGATGAATTTATTTATTCGGACTACGATTATGAGGAGACTTTGGTGACTAAAAACGGCAGTGAATTAGTGGTGAGCATCTTTTTCTAGCGTTCTGTTTCCATATCAACTTAAAATTCAGCTATAACTCGACATATCGATTTTTCTATGCCCCATAAAATAACTGGATTTAGGTACCTATGTTGGAGAAATATTCACAGAAATCTTTTAAATATTAGTTCAATAATAAATATTATTGGTTGTAGCATGTATATGCTTACATTGTTTAACAATTTTATATTTTTTTTATCCATGTAATCTCTTACTCTAGTAGTGGTTTAGGTTATGCACAATATAACTTTTTTTTTTATACCACGAAGGTAATACAAAATCTCTATACCAAAATAAACAACCTGACATTATAATAGACCATTTGACAATCTGTAAAAGATTTATATTAAAGATGTGTGTGAACATTGATTACATACTTATTTTAACTTGTAAATTTATCTAATAATTTCTTTTGTGGCATGAAAATGAATTATTAATAAACCTACCTGTACTATTGTTATACACTGATGGGGCATCAGGGAGGGATGATAGGTGAGAATGAAGTTAGGTCAAGTCACCCATTGTAAACTTGGAATTAAATATGAAGGTTTTCAGGGGAACTGGGTATAATAAATGTAATTATTAGTCCTCATTAATAATAATCCCTTTCCCCTGAAAGTCAACAGTGATATTACTTAAAAATGTGTAATTTATTTTATAATTTATATGTAGACAGAGGTACAGGAAAATTATATGTAATTTGATATATTCATTAATATACATAAAAATAAAATACTAATAGGATAAAATCTTGGTGGAGTTGACAATTTACCATAAATATAAAATTCTTCAAAAGTGGCTGGTATAGGTGTTTATTATGTATGTATAATTTTTTTTAATAAAAGTCTACATGGGAGGTATTTTAAAAAAAACAGATAAGAGCATGAATAGAAACCAAAATAATAATTTAAAAAAAATTTGTTTTGTTTCTGTCTCTTTGTATGGGTTTTTAAAGTCATATTCCTGAAGGTCTAACTTAAAAACTGGTGTAACCATAGTGTATGTCATCAATAAAAGTAGTCTATTTCATTGATTAATATTGATAATAGGCAAAAAAAGAGTAATAATAATAAGCTGTATAGCATGCAGGAGATCTTTCTGTTATCAGGCTAGTATATGGTGGAACAATATACCTCCACCCATTAAAAATATTTCCTCAAGATATTTAAAAAAAATCTTTGTTTTTCTACTCGAAAACCAAAATGTTATAAATAAATTGTATATTTAAATTAATCAAAATAAATATACAATATCAGGCAGTAACTGAAAATCATGGTTTGCTTATTGCATATTACATATGCATATTCACATATTATGTTATGTATAAAAAAAAAAACCTTTTGTTAAACACTAGTAATGTTTTTTGTTACTATTGTCACAATTTTTGTGTATCTCTTGATTGCATCAGGAGATAAAGAGTTTATTTATCTATCTTGAGTGCCAAAAAATTTATTTGATACATTGAAAAACTTTTCAAAAGAGTGTCACAAAATTTTGAGTGTCACAGCCACTTGTTTTACAGTTAAATAACTCCACAGGCTAAACCTTACCGGAAATCACTTTCTATTCGTACTGGAAGGAAAGTGGGCAAAGTTGGTGTAATGCTGGTAGGTTGGGGTGGAAATAACGGATCAACATTCACAGCAGGAGTACTCGCCAACCGCCACCAACTGTCATGGAATACAAAGAATGGAAAAGTGGATTCAAATTGGTATGCATTTTTCAAATTATTTATATGAGATTAGTTTTACTTGAGACTTTGTTTCATTGGGTTACTTTAATTGGTTGCTATAAAAAGTAGGAGGTAACTAACAAACACACTTTTAGATTTACAATATTACTAAGGATTGTTCCACAATTGAAAAAGAATGGACTATGCTCAGAATATACACATTTGTACAGTAACACAGTGATGTACTGTGCAAATGTGTAAACTGTAATAGAAGAGTCACGGATAGCATTTTCTTTTTATCTTTTTCAAATGTGTACCCCAGTATTTTGCAATTTTTTGCTTGCAGAAATTTCCCATTTAAAAGTATTCCTTCCATATTGTAATTGGAAACACAGCCACACAAGTTGAGAGATGTGAGTAGGATTTAAGAACTTGCGTTTATGTGTTATATATAAATATACAACTAGCTGTATCTCGTGGCTTCGCCCGTGGTTGTATCGAGATGCTAAATAGCCTACAAACTTCACCTAGTAATATGCTATCAAATGCCAAAAGCATTTTTCAAATACTGGTATTTCTAGAGATTTTCAGAGACAACAAATGACAAACAACCTATAGATTTGTGATTAAATTGTTAATACCTTCAACAGGTATGGTTCTATAACACAATCGTCCACAGTGCGCCTTGGAATTGATGAACAAGGTCAAGATGTATATGTCCCTATGTCGCAGCTGTTGCCTATGGTGGACCCAGATGATTTGGGTTAGTATATATTTAAACGGTCTCAGTGTGGCATTTGCCACTCCTTCCTTTCCTGTAGGTGTCATAAAAGGCAACTAAGGAAACTTTATGGTTGAGGGATGGGCGGCAGCTTCCCTCTAAAAACATTGCCAAAATTTATCTGATAAAACTTCTCTTTATGGGGGAAACCGATGTTCAGCAGTGGATAGTTAGTGGCTGATATGATATGATGATGTATTTAAAATCCATAAATCTAATATAAAAATTCCATATCAAGTTAGTACATATAAATTCGTGTCACGAAATTCTTTCACGCTAATAACCGAATCCGCTCAACGAATATTAATAAAGTTTCGCAATCGCAAAGGTGTGTTGTTTGCTTCAACAACAAAGAAGAGATAGTTTTTGTCTCGAAAAAAAAAATTACTTAGTAGGGGGTGGTAAGGGGCAAAACATCTGTTGGATTAGCTTGTGATAAATATTAGTTACACTTGAGTAATCATGTTCAAATTGCTGAACGGGTTTGGTGTGAACACTTAAAAACAATCATTCTGAAATTGGACATATGCTAAGAAACATTTCGCTCATTATAAACTTTATCATTAAGTGTTGTTTGTAAATTGTTCCAACTACCGAAAAAAATTCATTTTAATAGTATTACCATTATTTATTTGGCGTCATTGTAATATGTTTTACTCTTCCATTAGTTATTCAAAGTAATTTCCGAATCCAGTCCCATTCTGGCGATTAATCTTGCACTTTTTTTTTATACGATTTGGAATGGCGAACAAGTTGACGGCCCACCTGATGGAAAGTGGTAACCGTCGCCTATAGACATGATCAGTACCATAGATATAACAGTACACACATACTGTTTCGTCCATGATACCCCCCCATGCGTTGCCATTCCTGAGGACTCGGGTGTTATTCCTCTGTACCCTGTAAATTCACGCCATATCCCACCCTTCAAACCGAAACACAGCCATGGAAATACAACTGCTTAACGGTAGAAACACGAATGGGACACAGTGCATTTGTCTTTTTCGTTCTTCTTCTGTCCTCATAGTTATCCCTGTTCATACTTAATACTTCCTCATTAGTGCGCATCATGTGTCAATTTTAATAGGAAATTCATGATAATTCTGATATTAAGTTTGTGTTTCTATTTTTTTTATTTTTTTTTTTTTTTTTATACAACTTAGAATGGCAAACAAGCTGACGGCCCACCTGATGGAAAGTGGTAACCGTCGCCTATAGACATGAGCAGTACCATGGACATAACAGATTATACTGTTTCGCCCATGATACCCCCCATGCGCTGCCATTCCTGAGGACTCAGGTGTTATTCCTCTGTACCCAGTAAATTCACGCCATATCCCACTCTTCAAACCGAAACACAGCCATGCAAACACAACTGCTTCACGGATTATATTTTCGACGGATTCTGAAACTTGGTACAAATGTTCACGGTTTTATAGTTTTTAATATAAAAAAATATTCTTACGTACACCAGAAATCGACGGATGGGACATCAGCCCATTAAATTTGGCGGAGTCTATGGCACGAGCGAAGGTGATTGACTATGACCTACAGCAGAAATTGAAGAAAGAAATGGCTGCGATGAAACCACGGCCCGCTATATACGATCCTGACTTCATTGCGGCCAATCAGGTATGTATTTTGTTGTTTAACCCAAACTTTATTTTAATGAAGTTTTAAGTGTAATGGGCTTAAACCCTTTATTCATACAAATTAAAACCTACAAATCTATTTTAATATTATACTATTCTGTCTCTTTCTTTTAAATTGGAAATTTAACTAAAAAAAAAAACAGTTCAAAAGCTTGAATAGGTTAATGGGAGATTTGATATTTTATAAATAAAGGTCCTTTTTCAAAACTAAAATTTCAGTTTGATATTGTAAAGTAATTATGGTTCCAGACTAAATTACAATTGTAAAATTGAGTCAGGACTACATTATGATTTTATTCTTTATAGTCCATAACAGTATATTTTCAGTAAATTACTAAATATAAAGTTTTGATTTTGGAGATAAGTTTAGGGAATGACCTCTCAGAATCGATACTATGTTTTTACTTTGCTAAAGAGCCTTATTCTTTCAGTGTAACATCGAAATAATATTGAGCATACCTTACCTACTTGACAATTTGACATTGCGTTTTCTATTTATTTTTTTTGTTTATGATATTTAAAACGGCAAACAAGCTGTATATTAAGCTTTAAATTGATAATTTTTTATACGACTTGTTTCTTTGGGGAAAAATATACAATTTTACTGGTAGAATACTTTTAAAAAAAGATGTTAATTCCATTCTGTTTATTTTGTATAGAGTATCCTCATTGGAACAATTTAAATAATTATTATACATTCTACAAATTTTAAATTAATCAAATTACCTATTTTATTTGTGGACATGTAATAGGCGTGTCGGCGAACGTCATAGATATTGTCACGGTAGAACTGCTACTATGGTTGTTTTTATTACCTTCCTTTACGACGTACGTGCATGTAATTTTCGAATTTAAGATATACCACCCACAAAGACCGCTATATGTTCATTAAAATTTAATTAAAATGTGTATCTTAAAATTCATAGTGTAGAATATTGTTAAAAATGCAATTTGATTATATGTAGGTACTTATCAAATACGAGCGTGACTATCCCATTACATATAAAAAAATATACACTCGACTAGTGACCGTATTTTTTCTTATTATTTACATGTGACATGATCAATAAACAAAATATTTACTCTTTATTAAAATCAATAATAAAAGTACATGAAATTTTATACATGATGGGTTGTTATAGTAAATTTTAAAAATCGAACACATCGAATCGAATGATGAGAAATTCCAAAGACAAATCAAATTAGTCCTAGTGACGGTGATTGTCGCTTTTGGTACAGGTGGTGAGATTTATTTTCGTAATAAAAAAAAAACAAAAACACTAATGCGACCACGAAAAAGTAATATACATAAATAAAAATAATGGGTATAGAAACTTTGCGCGTCTAATTTTCAACTTCTGGAATGGCACTCTTCTTTTGTAGCAACCGTCAATATATGGGGATGGCGATAAGGGTGATATATTTGCCGAGACATTTTATAGGTGGGTAGGTAGGTGTTTAGCCAGTGGTATGTAGCTTGTGTACTTCAAGGCCACCGCTCGATCTGTACGGTGAGGGTAAACCCCAAATACGCGCGGTAGATACCTCGCGATACACAATTATTGTATGCAATATGTGCAAATTACTAATTTAAAAGGCTAAAGGTCGCAATTTATAAATATGTGTATATAATTATTAAGAATTAGCAAATACATCATCGTCATCTTATTAGTCATTATCTGTTTACTGCTAAACATATAGCATCGTACGGCTCGCCATCGACAGGGAGTTCATCCTCATGTCCTACAGCCTCAATGGTCGCGTACTGCGCGGTTTCAGAGATGTTTCCTCCCACGAACACTCAGGTTGTGGAATGAGCTCCCTGCCGAGGTTTTCCCAAGAGACTACAGCATGGGGTTCTTCAAAAGGGGGATAAAGAGGTTTCTTCAGGGTCGGCAACGCACGCGTAATACCTCTGGTATTGCAGGTGTTCATAGGCTACGGTAATCACTTACCATCAGGTGGGCCGTATGCTTGTTTGCCACCTCAGTGGTATAAAAAAATATAGCAAACTCATAAATACAGTTAATTCTTTAAAATGTAACTGATGGCCGAATGCCGAACGACGTTAGATGATCGGTCTAGTAATAAACGCCATCGCTAAAATATCGCTGTGGGCGAAAGGACTGTATGCTGGTATGGAAACACGGTGTTTTAGAAAGATAATATAATTATATAAAAAATATACATAGCAAACCAACGGAGTAAAAAAAAGCGAAGGCAAAAACAAAACCGAAACTGACACAGACTTCAAATTATAAAAAGAACATCTTTTTAATAAAATTAAAAAAGAAACTAAAAAGGTGCGTCGTGCACAATCGCATTAAAATAGTACAGACGTAATGAATCTATAATCAAAAACTAGTTCGTTATTTTAGGCGAAGAATTGTGTTTTAATAAAATTGATATCTATTTCTGGTTATTTTTTTTTTATATATTGTAAAAATAGACTTTATTTTTTTTTTATTTGTTAAATGTAATTTTTTAGTTACACGGCAGGCTTTGCCTCGTCCCGCGTTGCATTCTAACGTGCTTGACAGAATGTGGATATGTTGAATGTTCACCATAACTGCAAAAGTGGATTATTGATTCTTCATTAGGAATTATTATTTTTATTGTTCCACTGCAAATTCTTTTTCAATACTTTGTTAAACTTTGTCGAAGGCAGCCATACCAGTGCTGTTGTTTTTTCGATACCTTTATTGAGTCAATTTACAGAAACCTTATCATCCTCAACATTATGAGAGTCCTCTATATTTAGAGATTTTGTATACCATAGGGCCTATGATATAGGACAATGAAACTACATACTACCAGAGGGAGACTGTACAAAAGTTATTTGCTTGGGTACCTCTGTCCCGTTCATGTTTCAACCGTAAAGCAGTTGTGTTTGCATGGCTGTGTTTTGGTTTGAAGGGTGGCATATGGCGTGAATTTACAGGGTACAGAGGAATAACACCTGAGTCCTCAGGAATGACAACGCATGGCGGGTATCATGGGCGAAACAGTCTGTTATGTCCATGGTACTGCTCATGTCTATAGGTGACGGTTATCACTTTCCATCAGGTGGACCGTCAGCTTGTTTGCCATTCTAAGTTGTATAAAAAAAAAAAGATTTTTTTTAATTGATAAAAATGGAATGGTAGCCCCGCCTGTGCTATAGGTACCTATACGCTGGTGGTGGTGGTGTAGTGAATGATGATCGGTGAAAATTAAAGCTGGTCAGTTGGCCTATTGTGACGAATTCGATAAGAATTAACTACGGTGACTTCCAGGGAGGACCTGGAGATCGACCTGATAGGATTGTTAGCAATTAGGGTTGACAGCTTTTATTTATTATTAATTTATTTTCTCCCCTATGAAACTACTTTAGCTGAACCCCATTGTCATGATGATACATATATATTGTATTATATATATATATATATTTTTTTTTTTGTACAACCGGCCGTTCTTTTTAAACGTTTATAGTCTAGTAATATAGGCGAGTCGGCGACGTCACACGTTGTCCGTCCCCCATGCAGTCTCGTCACTTTACATAGCTCACGGGCTCGCTCGCTCGGTTACGTCAATTCCATTTTTATTTTAGTTCGACGACCTTCGTGCCTTAGTGATGGGTATGATGCGTAGATGAACTCCACGGGTTTGATTTATCGTTCGTGCAATTTAGGGAATTTTTTTTTCTATATTTCCTCGTATTTTCGTGTTCTGGGTTGTGGCCCCTAAATGTGCTTTGCTTGGTTTCTTACAGTATGCTTGTAGTATTATCTGGTATTTATCATTATCTAGATAAATTCCTTGTAAAGGAATGTTCCAATGAAATTGAATACTTTTCCCAAATTAACGTGAGACAAAAATCCATTTTTGAATTGTTTTTTTTTTTTATGTTCAGTTTTACTAATAGAATACTGCGTTGAAAAGAATGCTATAACTTTAATTCATACGTTATATTTATAAACTGTTGTAAATAGAACGGACTAGATTTTTTTTTCTCGCTGGTTTGGTTCAAAATAAATCAGTGTTGAATTGTTAATCTATCATCAGTTTGTTGTACATTTGTATGCGAACCAAACACGTGGAAGCGTTGTGTCAAGTTCTTTCCAAAACACGTGTAGTGTACGTATGTTTACAAAATGCCACGATTGTCTATGATTGTAGGCGCCGCGATGTAGAAGAATAGAATGTTCCTTTGCATCGTTGTGTTTAAAAAACAAGTGTCACATGTTCAGTCAGGTTACATTACATTTTCAATTGTTTTACCTAACCACAACATTCTCTTCTAGTTTTTTTATTATTTTTAAACATAGAACGTTTCTAACATCTTTGCTCTATTTTATGATTACTGCGAGGTTCAGAATGTTGATATTGCGGAAAAGAGATTTTAAAAAATCGACAATAGAGAATGAATATTGCACACACATATGTCACACCTGTCTCTCATTGGGGTAGGCAAAACAATAGAATGACATATGCTCTAATTTAAATAAACCACTTTTCCTTCTTCCACTTCTATTAATATATTTATACATGCTCGCTGATTGTGGGTATCGTTTCCAGTACCAGAGGCCAATCTAGCCTGTCAGCTTTATTCGCGCTCAATACATACCTTTCAGAATTTTTCTTTCATCGATTTCTTATATGTAATCAGCATAGTTTGGAAAGGCATTTTTAATAATGGCCCATTGCTAACTGTAACTATCGTTACTTAATAGTTTGTCATCAACAGAGAGTTCATCCCTATAACTTGAAGCCTGGATGGTCGAGTAAACCGCGGTTTCAGAGATTCCATTTTCACCCATAAAAAATTAATAGTTTATTCACTATATCACAATTATCTAATTAAAAACATTATATTAAAAACAACACTTATTAAAAAAATGGAATATACTTAGCGAATTGAAATATAATTATTAGCCGCGTATTAATTAATTGTCTACGCGGAACCTTTTAAATCCAATCTTATGGGAATGTAGATAAATCTGTCTTAGGATGTTTAATTTCATGGAGCTATATATTCAGGTATGGGAAATAATTTACATAGGTATCATAAAATAAACATAATTAATACGGAGTATTTTAATTAGCTAGTCATAATTTATGAGCGACTTGAATTACTGACGTCGATTGTGAACCTTTATTTTCGTAATTACTCTGTGTAAGATGTATAATATAAATTCTTTTAAAAAATAATATATTAATAGATGGGATGTTATCTCGAAATTGTAATATAAAATTATTTAAATGTTAACCGTATTTGTTGATTTATTAAAGACCTTTATAAATGTCAAGGTATTAATTTGACGTACATAAATGTACTCCATTATTCGTGTTACATAGTAGATATCTTTTATATTTTATATTCTAATCAAATCGTACAGTAAGCCTTTATGTTATGAGCGATAAGTATTTAGATCAGGAACTAATGTCGTCTGTAAATTTAAAGTTCACATGTCAATCCCATTATGCTGATATATTATATATATAAATAATAACTGTTCAGTATAATGCATTGTCTAAGTACTGGTACTTAGATAATACAGAGAAAGAAGTCTACAGAAACACGTCTCAATACTGGTACTGACTAGACCTCTTTCTAACATTAATATCAGTTTTCGATTTTGAAATATATTCATAATTTAGGGTACGATGGGACTGGCATATGGCCGAATAGAATGTTATATCGAAATAGAAATCTAGTGATGTTTCTTTCGTCCTTTAAACGTACGTTAAAACCTCTTAGTGAGCCGGCAGTTATTCTTGCAAAAAAAAAAAAAATATAGTCTTTGGAAATTAATAAACAGATTTTTTTTTTTACTATTATAACAATGATTACTTATATATTACAAATTGTACAAACTTATAACGCATAAGTTTAGAATTCGACAGGATATTGTGAGGTTGCAGTTCTTGGGGCAGTACCATTACATGTTTTTTTTTAATTCGGTCCTCTTTTCTCTTTTGAACAAGATTTGTTGAGATTCCTCTATTCCTTGTGCGAGATTTTAACACAGATTGACTGAATAACCCATATATCAACACACAGTATAACAGCTGAATTTGGAATATTAAGATTTTGTATGGAATTTTATCAGCTTAGAAGTTCAACACTCGCAATTTTTAGAACAAGAAATCAAATTTTAAATTCAAATTATCTTTATTCAAATAAACTTGTATACAAGAACTTTAAAATCGACATTTTTTTTTCTAATCTACTCCAGGGGTTGGAAATTGTTATCTGCTGGGTAGAGCCGCAAGAAACTCGACAGTTACTCTTTCAAATCTCTGTCAATATATAAAAATAAATACACATATGTTTATTTAAATATACCATGTCTATAATTACAAGGATATTAAGAAGCCCGTGCATAATCCACTAACACCAAACACGTTTGTCATTCGAATAATCGTTTAGTGTGTAATCGAATACCACATAAAATTTAATACCACACGCGAGCTAAGTCGCGGGTAAAATCTAGTAATTATATATACCTATTTCATTTATCTACATTTGTTTATTTCAATGAAATAGAGAATGATAAGTTGACATAAGATTTTCATTTCATCACGAAGGGAGTCCACTATAAATGATACTTTGCTCCCCCCCCCCCCACCTTAAAGCTAAAATAATTAATGGATACAATCTTTAGCACGAAGATTTCCCAAGATTAATTGAACAAAATTAATATATTTAAAAATGTGACACCATTATTGTGATCCTCGAAATAAACGGTCAGAGAGACATTTATTCGATATAAAGCTTCACTATTAATTCATTATCTTGTTACCAAATAAAGACGTAGGTATATATGTATTTATTCATAATCAAGATTTTCAACAATGAGTTCCTATACAGTATAAACAAGGGGCACAATTCACATGATATTTAATGGCATTGCTACAAAGCAGGCAGTCATTACAATTTAAGAGGGTCTTAGGCTATCAGGGATAGCTGACGATGGATAATTGATTCACTGTTCGTTAGTTACAAGAGATTAAAGTCATTATAAATCCGTTGAGAGATGATAACATTCGTTTGAATGGCTTATTAAAAATTTCAAGGTTTCCTTCAAAGACAATATGCCTACAGTCTACATGCATCTTACACAGCCGTATACAAATGCTTTCAAGTTGGTTAGCGAGTTATGGGGAGGATTATGCTCGGAGTTTCACTCTGTCCGCAAAGTCCGCAATGAGGATAGTTATTAATTTAATTTATTCATTCTTTATTGACCAAATCACAAAAAATATACTATTTGGTACAAAAGGCGGACTTAATAAGTTAACCTTTGGAAAAAACTGTAATGTAATTATGCGGTGAATAATATTGAAAATTGTTGTGGATAAATCATCATCGGATGATCAGCCGTTGACTGTCTACTGCTGAATATAGACTTCCTTTTCAAGGAGGTTTTGCCAATAATTATCACGGTTGGTAGGCGGGTTGGCAAGCGCGTTTTGGCTTTGGTGATGTTTTAAGATTGACGCTGCTGCTTATCCTTCGATCATTAACTTCCCTTAGTCGCCTTTTATTACATTTACGGGAAAGGAAGGGTTGGCCCATTCTATACATGGCATAGGAAAATACAGTTATTTATAACTGTATTTAGAACTACTACACATGATATTAGGATATCCACAGAAGAAACTAGATAGATAAACGCTTTATTAGAGCCGTTTATGATTTTTTTTTAATATAAAACAGAAGATAATATATAGCCCGAAGGATGAAATGGCAATGAACCGACCATATAATGCAAACGACTGAAAACCGATGAGGAAAGAATATTCTTGAGTAGCGACTCCTTACTGGCAAACGCAGTGTAGAAAGAACAACCCTCCATTAGATGTGACAATCTCAAATGCATTGCAACGACGGCTGGAGGTGGTTTAACACCGTTCTTTATGCCAGTTAATGGAGAAGACCAATTCTATAATTGCATGTCTATACATGCATGCATGATTTCAGTGAGAGTTTCGGCAATGGTTTATGAGGCCCTGTATATCTATGGCATGATATTTATTACACTGCTAGGTAAAAAGGACTATAGTTAATTTTAAACTTTCGCGATGTTACACATATTTTAAATACACAATCGGGACTTAAAGCGAAGTAAAAGCTTTTACAGGTAAACTTTTAGACGTGGATCCACGTCGAAAAGTCGGCAATAAAGAAGCAGGTATGTAAGTACTATTTACTTATAAAAGCTTTTTCATCGCGTTAAGTACCAATTGTATATTTAAAATAAAAAGGAATGTGTGTAGTTTTATTTCTAATTTCAAATTCGTTCACACTCGTGATGAATTCTGTAGCGAGGATATCATTGGAAGAATTTAAACGATCTGTATAGTCCGAAGGATTAACAAGCTAAAATGATGAAGCGTCCATATAGTATGATTAACAGATAACCAATGGGGAAGGTTCTCGAATGACGGGCCACGTCATAAGCAAACACAGTCTACGTACCTACATATATATGTCTTTTGACATATTGGTACCTGTTCCTCTATATCTTATCTATGGAAATAAAATAAAAAATGAGCGTTCCCTATGTTCGATACCCACATATTCAGCCTTGATAAATTTGTTCACTGTAACTACAAACAACACTTCAAACTCGACGAGTATTTATGACGTATTATCACACCATGCTATTACTGCGCTCGCATTTTTTGCCATGTTATATTTAGTGCGCCTCTATCCGGCTTCCTGATACGTGAAATTTTGAGGGAAAAACGTATTTGTATTTATTTTCCATTCATAGTTATATATAAAAAAATATAGACGATCATAGAGTTCATTTAATTAAAAGTAAACGGCTTCAGTTTCGCAGATTATCCAAATGTGTTTACGCTAATTTCTCGATATGATAGAAATAAAACATTTTATTAGTAAATTTGTTTTATATGTATATTAAAGGTTTCAATTTTTACGAATAACTTTACGGAGGGGGGAAAGGGATTGTTAGTAATAGAGACTGAGAATCCCATTGCTAGCAATATACCCAACTAGGTCAACCTCCACGCGGTTCCCCCTGGAAACTATCATGGTTAATTCCTGATGAATTCATCATGATGGGCTAACTGGCCTGTTTTCATTCTCATCTATCACCCTTCACTGGTGCTCCGCCAGCGTATCCCGTTAGCGTAGGCGGGGTTACCATAACATTTTCACCCATCAAAAAAAAAAAAAAACTTTACTGACCAATAAAATGTGGTATACTCGTAAAACATTACTTTGGAATAAGGAGATTCACAAAAACGTCAAATTTATTTTAGATGTTTGCATGTAAGTCACAAAACAGTGTAATAGTTAAAATAGGTTTATTGCAGCTTTTAGTTTTTATGAACAAGGAGATTTGAATCTCTATCTTTTTAAAGTGGATTAAAAGCAAAGGAAATATATCATGTAAGTTTTATTTTTTTTTGTATTTGTTTTTAGGCTGATCGTGCAACCAATCTGATCCGCGGCACCAAATATGAACAGTACCTCCAGATCCGGGCCGACATTAAGAACTTCCGTGACAAGAAGAAGCTCGATAAAGTAATTGTGCTGTGGACGGCTAACACTGAGCGGTAAGTTTCCATATCATATATACCTACTTCGCACGGTTTTTTTTTTAATAAAATACATTCCATGTTAGACAATGATAATGTAGCTTGCAAGAATTTTTAAAATCAAGTAATTTTTGAGTTTATCGATTACAATAAAAACATGAATCTTTCTTAAATTTATTTAAAATTTAGTTAATATGTATAATATTTTATAAATATGGATATGTATTTAAAACTTAAGCTATCATCGTCAATATCATTTCAGTCATTATTTGTCCGCTGCTGAACATAGGTCTTCCCCATGACACATCCATAAGGAATGTTTCTTGCATCCACTGACTCCCTGCAATGCATTTGAGGTGGTCACATACCTAGTTTGGAGTCATCCTACACTGCATTTGCCCGTACGGGGTCGCCACTCGAAAATCTTTCTTCTTCATTGGTTGTCGATCCTTCGAGCTTATGTGACCAGCCCATTGCTTCTACCATTAAAAGGTTTTGCCAGTAATTGCCACTTGGCAGGCGGGTTGACAACCGCGGTTAGGCTTTTGGGGTTGTTTTTACCATAACTTCTCTTAGTCGTCTCTCACGGAAAATGGACGGGTGGGTATGCCGTGATCTACATGACGGGTAAAATATAACTGACACTAGAATTCTGGTTTGAAAATGTCACATGGGCAGTGTAGTCATGTTCATAATGCTGCACATGTCTGTAGATGACGGTTACCATTTTTTTTTGTTACATCAACGGCAAATCTTAATGGCGTATTAAATGGTCCCCCTAAAACATTTAGGTAAATTGGAACTGTAATATTACAATGAAATACTACCACAGACTAAAGTTTCATCCCAATCATCTGGACGAGTGGCGGTCTTCCACCGTGCGTTTTTCAAGGCACTTTCTTCCACGCACAACCATTCTTTGGAATCAACTTCCAGCAGCAGTATTTCCGAACCGATACGACAACATAACCTTCAAGAAAAGAGTATATTCCTTTTTAAAAGACCGGCAGCACACCTGCAATGCTGCTGGTGTTGTGGGTGATCATGGGCGGCGGTAATCACTTATCATCAGGTGAGCCGCATGCTCGTTTGTCCCCTGTGTTGTACAAAAAAAAAAAGATAGGTAACATCAATATTCAACTACGACAGCAACCAGTCAGCGGTCAGCGGTATGACTTTGGCGACGGTGATCTTGAACGGGCGCGCTTCTACGTTGTCTATGAACTTGTCAATGTCACACGCTTTTTTCTCATCTGAAAATATATTTCTAAAACTGTATAGAACAATATTATAATGCTGTTTGTCTGATTATTTAATTCTTTAAGTACATCAGGTGTACTTTTTAGTTTAATATTATCAATCAAATGTGTTGCCATTGACAATTTAATACTTACCTTATGTGCAACAATTAGGATTTTTTTTTCAATGGGTGAAAATGGTATGATAACCCTGCCTGCGCTAACGGGATACGGTGGCGGAGCACCAGTGAAGGATGATAGATGAGAATGAAAACAGACCAGTTAGCCCATCATGATGAATTCATCAGGAATTAACCATGATAGTTTTCAGGGATAACCTCGAGGAGGTCGACGTGGTTGGGTATATTGCTAGCAATGGGATTCTCAGTCTCCATTACAAACAATCCCTTTCCCCACAGCAATTTGAATCGGTTTACAATAGTTGCATTGGCAGGTTACGCTAATACACATCTATCGGAACAATATTATCAGCATCAAATCTATTCTGATTCATCTAACGTAGATACAAAAACATTCATACTAATTGAAATGTCTTAAAAAATATATTTTTTTATGCAACTTAGAATGACAAATAAACTGAGACAGCCCACCTGATGGAAAGTGGTAACCGTCGCCTGTAGACATGAACAGTACCATGTCCATAACAGAGTATACTGTTTTGCCCATGATACCTTCCATGCGTTGCTATTCCTGCGGACTCGGGTGTTATTCCTATGTACCCTGTAAATTCACTGCCATATCCCACCCTTCAAACCGAAACACAGCTATGCAAATACAATTGCTTCACGCTAGAAACACGAATGGGACAGAGGTGCCCAAGCATACGACTTTTGTACAAAGTCTTCCTCTGGTAAAATTATTATGTCGCTAGTATTGCAATTCGAGAGTGCGAGACGTCTTAATTCCAATATCGATCTATTGGAATTTATTTTAAAAGTAACCCCATAACTTTACCTATTGTATAAGTTTTTGAGCCTATTGTATAAGTTTTTGAGCCTAATGTATAAGTTTTTGATAATTTTTGATTAAAATTAGTATAATGCTGTTGTCATATAATCTGTAGTGCGATCATAATTTGAAACAAATATCATAACATCCTGGTCGTTCATCATCATCATCATAGCCCTTAACTGCTAAACATAAGCCTCCCCTTTGAGGGGATTATGTCAGTAGTTGCCACGCTTGGCAGGCGGATTGGCAACCGCAGTTAGGATTTGATGATGCTTTAAGAGGGATGCTGCTGCTCACCTTTCGCTCTCCCTTAATCGCCTCATATGACACCCACGGGAAAGGAAGGGGTGGCCTATTCTATGCTGACACCACAAAGTCTTAATTAATCTACACTAATATTATAAAGAGGAAACATTTGTATTTTTGTGTGTAAGTTTGTAATGAATAAACTCAAAAACTACTTTGCCGATTTCAAAAATTCTTTCACTATTAGAATGCTACATTCACCCTGAGTAACATAGGCTATATTTATTGCTAGAAAAGATTAGGGATCCTTACTAAAACTTTTATAACGTAACTTAAAGTGTTAAAAAATGCTATAAAATATCTTACGTCGCGTGCGCTGCCAAAACTATTGGTGATAGAACAAAAGTATGTTCTACAGTATTGAAGAAAACATCAATAACTACAAAAAACTTCGCGATACTATATGTCCAACTATTATCGTTATGTCACAATAACCACTTTTAAAATGTTGTAAAAATGTCCACCCGTGCGAAGCCGGGATGGGCTGCTAGTTATATGTTGTAATTAACAAAGATTAATGTATGGTATAACTGCATAAACCCGGAAAAAATGAGTTGTCAAACCTATTTGACATTAGCAGTTTCATAAAATATTAATTTAAAACATTAGATCGGAATATATTCTAATTGACAAAAAATAAAACAGACGTCAATCGTGTTAAAACCAGTTATTTTTTTATTTAAAAACTAAACTACTTACTGAATCGATTTTGATTAAATTTTGATTAAAGGTACCAACTGTAAGTATATCCAACGATATAATAAATATGGGAAATTCATCTTTTATCTGAAATACTTATATGTTGTTCCCATAGAAATTTTATCGCAATCGACACAGTAGCTTAGTTTTGAAATAAAAATAACTGAAGGGAACTTTTTTATGGGATACAATGTTTAATTATTCTTATTAACATTAATCTGTTGAAAATAGTATGTGCAAAAATGTTTGAATCAATTCGCTATACGTACATACACACATACGTAGTACAAGTCTAAGCAGACTAGCTGAATTAATTAACATACCTATTTAAATATTAGGAGTTTTTGCCATAGTGACGGCGGGGTCGTTGTACTGAAGTCCATGACATTGTCGGTCAATCGGCCAACTAATCTCGAATGTTCCGCAGGTAGTGATACTTAATCAATGCAAATAAATTACATAACACGCACATCAGGTGTTTGCAGTTCGCACAATAAGGCCGTAACAATGTAAATATGGCGATGTTTTGTGTCAACTTCTTCTCTATTGCTATAATATAGAATGTACTGGATTCATGCGTGAATTGAGCGTATTCGTTATTTTCAACCGACTTCAAAAATAAGGTTCTCTTTTCGAGGTTTTTTTTTATGTTTGTTACCTCATAACTTTGTCAATTGTAAACCGATTTGGAAAATTCTTTGGTTTATTGATCCTATAGGAATTGTATCATAATCTATTGAGTAGTTTAGTTTTTAAATCAAAATAATTACATATTAATTAATACAGGTTTATTTCAGCTTCTCAAAGGTTGACTGTAAGAGATCCCTTTATGGGATAAGTCCGCCATTGTATATCAAATATTTTAATGTATTCAGTATGAATTATGTACAATAAAGATTTTACAATACAATACAATAATTGGTTTTGCCATATCTGAAGTAGGTTTTTTTAGAACACAATTTAAATACCTATTATTTCCCGATAGCTCGATCCGACGGGAATCGAATCTGCGTCTCTCTATGCTGACCGTGTTCCCAGTAACCTATATAATAAATGAGATACTATCAACTGGCAAATTTGTTATCCATGTGTATGTAATGTAATAAAAAGTACAGAAGATATAATATAGAGATAGCTTTTAAAATATGCCAAGATTAAAGAGGAAAAAAAAAAACAGCAGATTGTATGTTGGCATTATTTTTAAATTCTATTTAAAATTGTCTATGAACGTCTATTAATAGGTACCGTTCATTGCGATTTCTATTTATTCGTGCAGATTTTTCTAGAAGACAATATATATATATAAAACGGTAGTAATGGGTGGCCGTAAGATTTTTTTTGTAACAGTTTTACGGCTTTGGATATATCTTTGGATTTAATTTCTATTACTATTATTCCAGAGAATATTTTTCTTGAAAAATGTATGTAACTGAATCCATCTTGATGTAATTATAGTGTTTTAATAGTGTGGAGGATAAATTCATAGATAATTGGATACGTATCAGTGTTTTGAAGAATAGATGGCAGGAGGCGGGATATTTCTTTTTTTTTTTTTATATTAACTTATTGAGGACGGGCAAGAAATAGAATTGACGGGAACACATGGTACCTGCAAATAATGTTTTATTATTTGGGTAAAAAATTGGCATTCAATTTTGAACTTTATAACTATGCTGTTATAAGACGCAACTATAATGGTTGCGTCACTTTTTTAAAATTCGAATTAGCTTCCGTGTTACGAATACATAGATCAAACTGGCTCCAAAATCATACATATGTTAGTGACTGTAGACAATTCGTCTATTAGTCTCATGTTTTAGTTTGTGTCTCTCATTTTGCTACCGCTGATTGTTCAAGGATCTTTAGATCTACGGTCTGTGCACAGTCGCAAAAAAAAATTCCAGTCCATGTTTGCCTCGTCTGATTAGACTTTTGAGCCTGGTGGCAATTATTTTTGGCGTCATTTTTTTTAATCCTACTAAAATTGTAGATGTGAAAGTTTATAAAAATGTTTGTATGTTTGTTACTCAATCACTCTTGAACGGCTGAAGATATTTAGATAAAATTAGATAAATTGTATCTTGTAGGCCTCCCCCATAGTGTCATAAGGAACGGTCGTGAGCCACCTGCAATGATTTTGAGGTCGTTACTCCATCTAGTGGACGATCGTTCTACACTGTGTTTGCTCGTACGGGGTCGCCACTCAAGAAACTTCCTTCCCCATAGGTTATCGATACTTCAAGCTATATGACCAGCCAATTGCCACTTCAACTTGCTTATCCTTCGGGCACACCACATTTCAGATTCTGTCACGCAAAGAAACCCCGAGTATAGCCCACGGGTCTCTTATAGTCTTCAAAATTATAAGTTTAAAATTATAACTCACTTAAGAAATATTAATTTAATTTATTATTAATTTAAAATGCAATTTTATATTTAGGTATCAGTGTGCTAGAAAGCTGGCTGTTCTTTGGCACATACTGATTCGCCTTTTACATAATTTATTTAAAGAATACAATGCGTGATCATAAATGAAGGGTGAGATCGGGTACAATAATAATAAATACAAATAGCGTGACGTTAAAAAATCGTTAAGTAGATAATTCATTGGTAAAAATTACGGTATTAGTAAAATAAATGGCGCAACTCATCGAGCCCGCATACAAGTATCGCGTGGACAAAAAATAACTCATAAAATATCGAGTATATTTAGGTATGAGAATATTTTTCCTCTTTTTACTTTTTTTTATAGTTAAATTGATGATCGTCAATTTTTCCATTGAATATATATTATTGCCGGGTAGTCCCGGCATAGAATAGGCCACCCTTTCCTTTCCCATGGGTGTCGTAAGAGGCGACTAAGAGAGGGCGAGGAAAGGGCAGCATCGTCCCTTTTGAAACATCTCTAAAGTCTAACTGCGGTTGCCAATCTGCTTACCAAGCGTGGCAACTACTGGCGAAACCCCCCAAAGAGGAGGCTTGTATTTAGCAGTGGACAGTTTTTTTTTATATGGGTGATAATGGAATGGTAACCCCGCCTGCGCTATCGATATACGCTGGCGGAGCACCAGTGAAGGATGATAGGTGACGATGAAAGCAGGTCAGTTAGCCCATCATGACGAATTCCACTAGAATTAACCACGATGGTTTCTAGGGGGAACCGCGTGGAGGTCGATCTGATAAGGTGTATTGCTAGGAATGGGTCAGTTAAACCCCATTGCTAACAATCCCTTTCCCCCCACCAGTGGACAATTAAAAGCCGATATGATGATGATGATATATTTTTCATATTATTGTTATAGTTTCTGCGTGGTCCGCGATGGCGTCCACGATACTGCCGAGAACTTGGAGCGGGCATTGCGCAACAACGAGCCTGAGATATCGCCCTCCACCATATTTGCGCTAGCCTCCATCGATGAAGGGGTAAGTGGTAACCACTCTTTGGAATCAACTTCCAGCAGCAGTATTTCCGACCCGATATGATCGTAACCTTCAAGAAAAGAGCATATTCCTTTTTAAAAGGCCGGCAGTACACCTGCAATGCCGTTGGTGTTGTGGGTGATCATGGGCGGCGGTAATCACTTACCATCAGGTGAGCCGTATGCTCGTTTGCCCCTTGTGTTGTAAAAAATAGGTGTTGTTATTCCCCCTTTTTTTCATCGAATAAAAATGTATTGGAAACTGCACCTACGCTATTAAGCTTATTGGCTGTTCATATACCCTCGGTGGGGTATAAGTGAAAGCTGATAGCTGAGAATGAAGTCAGAGAATGCCTATCGTGATAAATTTACGAGGACTTAACCACGAAGGTTTCCGGTTGGGATCGCGTGCAGGTGGATCTGATTAGGTCTATTGCTAACAATGGGATCCATTGTGAAAGATATACCTTGTTAGAACTCATTATTAATAATTTTCTCCCAGGAATGTCACTGTTGAACAAAGGCTTTTCCAACTGCTTTCAAATTCTGTATTCATTAGTCTAGTAATAAACACCATCGCCTACAAGTCCCATTTATCGTATATATATGTGTATATATATATATATATATATATATATACGAAAGCTTTCCCGTTATATCGGTGCTTGTAGGTACATACGCCTTTAAATTTCTTCTCTAGCGTATGCAGGTTTCCTCACGATGTTTTCCTTCACCGTTTAAAACGAGTGATAATTTAGAAAAATTGCTAAATCCGTACATAAGTTAGAAAATAGCTCATTGGTACAGGCCCCAGCCGTGACTCGAACCAAGACCCTCATGCACGAGAGTCCGGTACAAATACCGCTGGGCTATCACCGCTTTTTTATATGTAGCTGTAATATCAAAATGAAATTTTAAGTCGTTTTTTGACTATGTGTCTTTGAGAAAATGTATAGTGTCTAAACTCTCTTTTTATGAAACATTATTATGGGCCTATAAGACCTCGTTATAGATAAACCCATAAGGGGCATTTCTCCAGTAGTTGCCACCGCAACCGCATTTAGGCTTTGGTGATGTTTTAAAAGAGGACGCTGCTGTCCATTCCTCGACTAATTAAGTTCCCTTAGTCGCCTCTTACGACACCCCCGAGAATGGAAGGAGTGACCCATTTTATGCCGGGATTACACGCTTTTAACATTTTTTTTTATTTCATCAGTGCTGCTACATAAACGGTTCGCCGCAAAATACCTTAGTGGCCGGCGTGGTCGAAAGGGCTGAGAAGAACGGCGTCTACGTGGCTGGAGACGACTTCAAGTCCGGCCAGACCAAGCTCAAGTCGGTGCTGGTCGACTTCCTAGTATCTGCCGGTACGTATTCATGTATTATTTTACTGGAATTTATTTATTTATTTTGTTTATTTTAACTTCAATCATTATTATAATAGAAGGTAAGATAGAAGGAAGAAGGGGAAGAGGGAGACCGAGACATAGTTACATCAGATAGATCAAGGAAGGACTTGGTGTCGTGTCGTATCAAGAGGTGAAGAGACTCGCTGAAAATCGTAGTGAGTGGCAAGAGCTCCACCGACAAGAGCGCAGCTCTTAAATAGGATAGATAGAAACTTCAATGCATAATTATATAAGTAAAGTGTACATATGACGGACTTAACACCTAATGGAATTTACTTATTACTTCATTTGCGTCACCGGAATATTTTTTTATACCACTGAGGTGGCAAACAAGCGTACAGCCCACCTGATGGTAAGTGGTTACCGTAGCCTATGAACACCTGCAATAAGAGGTATTACGCGTGCGTTGCCGATCCTGAAGAAACCTCTTTACCCTCGTTTTGATTCTTCAAAAGGGGGGTAAATAGGTTTCTTCATGGACTACAGCGTAGGGAGAACCCCATGCTGTAGTCTCTTGGGAAAACCTGGCAGGTAGCTCATTCCATAACCTGAGTGTTCGTGGGAGAAAACATCTCTGAAACCGCGCAGTACGCGATCATTGAAGCTGTAGGACATGAGAATGAATTCCCTGCCGATGGTGAACCGTACGATGGTAGAAAGTGGCTGTGGGCATCATATTGAACAATTCCTCTGAGCACAATCCGTTGTATAAGTGGTAGAACTCGCAAAGTGAGGCAAAATATGTTGATTGACCGAGATAAAAAGGAGCCTATGTTCTTCTCTTATATATTGAGTAAATGACTATGGAATCCTGATAAGAAACTTCTACACTGTATCTCAGCCACGTGTACCACTTCTTGACGCTTCTTATATTGACGTTCATTCATTCTTTCACTCACAAGTTAAAATTCTCCATGCAGGTTTGAAGCCTGTGTCAATTGTGAGCTACAACCATCTGGGCAACAACGATGGCAAGAATCTCTCCGCGCCACAACAGTTCCGTTCTAAAGAGGTAAGCATGGGGATGTATAATGGTAACATGGAGGGGGGTCGAGGATAGTCCAAAGTTGTTGATGTAATTTATAGATGGCTCCTGGGCTATGTTACTAGATTTCATATATTTATGATTAGACACATAATTGCAATTATTGACAATTTTTGAAATGGGCAGGACTTTAATCCGCACTTTCGATGTTGGAGCCAATGTTCTTACCAGTACTAGGTTACATTTGCATGATATTGGGTCTTGTTCTCAAATTCTATTTTTGAACACCATAATTTGCTACGTCTCTCTTTGTGGTGACAATGTAAAAATACATCCTGTTATTCATCACTCCACGATGAAGAGGCGATTAGAGGAACAAAGCACAAATACAAGTGCAAGAATACTACAAAAAACCTATATGGAGCCGTGTATCCAACATGGTGATAGTAACTCTCTCTTGAGGGACTTTCTTCAGTAACCCGGTACTGGGATTCTAATGAGTTACAGGGTACATATTTTGTAATATGTTCATACATGCAATGTCCACTTTATATGAAAAATAAACATTAGATTTTTGTTTTAATTTATTCTTTATTTTCTTATAACCAGATCACAAAGAGCAACGTAGTGGACGACATGGTGGAATCCAACTCCATACTGTACAAGCCCGGCGAGAAGCCCGATCACGTGGTCGTCATAAAATACGTGCCGTATGTTGGTAAGTTTGTCTTTTTTATCATTAGAGGAACTAGAGATGGAAAAAAGTATAATTATGTAATGTTGGCCCTAAACAAGACAATTTTTTTTACTTATAATTATTCTTTTATCTTTGAGGCCTTCATATAATGATCTACTTGGAAGTGTAGCCCTATTTTCCAATTTTGAGTTTGAATAACATGTGTGTGCCAACAATATCTAAAACTATTTCAAAAATCAATGGCATTAATAGTAGTTAAAATGTAGCACTATGATAGACAGACAGTCGCATCCTAACGGTCCCTTTGTACCATCTTGGTGAGGATCCCTAAAAATTGATAATACACTCGTTTCGGTATCGGATCGAATTTTTTTATTTATTTATTCATTAGTACATATATGTGTACATGGCGGACTTAATGCTAAAAGCATTCTCTCCCAGTCAACCATAGGGAAGTGTCAGAATACTTGAATTAGCTACTAGTAATTATTGATATTCGATACGTAAACCGTATAACTGGCCGCATGCAGGTGACTCGAAGCGCGCGATGGACGAGTACACGTCGGAGATAATGCTGCACGGCACCAATACGCTGGTGATCCACAACACGTGCGAGGACTCGCTGCTCGCGGTGCCTCTCATCCTCGACCTGGTGCTGCTCGCCGAGCTCTTCACGCGGGTCAGCTTCCGCCCCGACGAAAACCACGGTCAGTACTGTAACTTGCAAATAATAATAATATACTTTCCTTAAATGAAATCATATATTGTGTTAGAACGTAAAGAGTAATTCCCTTAAAAAACTAAAATCCTCTACTAACTTATTTGAACTATTTACAGTGTTTTATCTCTTTCTATTGTAGTAAATTGTAAGTTTGAAAGAAAGTGACAATTTAGCACAAAAGAAAGAGACAAAACAGTTCAATAGCTATAATAGGTTTAGATCAGTGATTCTCAACCTTTTTTTTTTTTTGTTGCGGCACATATTTAACGATTTCAAAATTTGGCGGCACACAAAGAAAAAGATAAAAATTATTTACTTACTACAACACACTGCATAAATAGGTTATGACAAAAATTTTAAATATTTGTAAAATTTGGCGGTACACTTAAAATTTGGCGGCACACAAAAGTGCCGCGGCACAGTGGTTGAGAATCACTGGTTTAGATGCTTGACGTTTTTATGAATAAAGGGGCATATGTTTAATATTGTGTACAGGCTAACGTACAGTATTATTTGTGACTTCTGAGCTGGTATAAAGTATATCGAAGAGCCACTTTATTAGTTTTTTTTGATGGGTGAAAATGGTATGGTAACCCCGCCTGCGCTAACGGGATACTCTGGCGGAGCACCAGTGAAGGATTATAGGTGAGAATGAAAACAGGCCAGTTCATTCATTCATTCATCATGATGAGCTATCATGATGAATTCATCAAGAATTAACCATGATAGTTTCTAGGAGGAAACGCGAGGCGGTCGACCTGGTTGGGTATATTGCTAGCAATGGGATTTTCTCAGTCTCCATTACTAACAATCCCTTTCCCCCCACTGTATTAGTTATTTATAGCTAAAATAATAAATAAACTGTGATATAACATGTTCTTGTGATGGACTCACGTATGTGTGCCTCGGCTACGCCTCGGCCCACATTTGCACGTTCGTCCATCAGTGCCTCAGTTGCTGGCCGCTGCAGGAATGTACTATAACTGTAATAAGAAATGATTTTGCTAGTAAATAATTGCTTTGAGTGCGACACGTGTACGTGTACGTGTGCGTGTGGTGGTGCAGAGTGGCGCGGGCTGCACGCGGTGCTGTCGGCGCTGTCGTACCTGCTGAAGGCGCCGGCCGTGCCGCCGGGCGCGCCCGTCGTCAACGCGCTGTTCAAGCAGCGCGCCGCGCTCGACGGGCTGCTGCGCGCCGCGCTCGGCCTGCGCGCGCACGGCCTGCAGCTCGAGCACCGGGTAACACCCACATCTCGCTACTCGCCAGTGCCAACTGTACTGCTCGTGTCTATACGCCACGGTTACCACTTGCCATCAGGTGGACCGTCAGCTTGTTTGCCATTATAAGTTGCATAAAAAAAATACGATAACTCGGCGCAAATTGTCCGCCGAGTATGACACGTCACGTTAAAAAACATACAATCCATCGTTGCTGATCTTCCGATAACCGAAGGTCATTGAACATCTAAAATTAATATCATAAATTTTACTACTACACTAAGTATAGCAGAGATCATGAGTCATTCTTAAAATTTTCACAGCTCTAGTTGCGCCGATGACAGACGTGATGCTAGACTGTAGCATTCCTTGCATACTTGTATAATCGGATACCTATAAATCGACCTAATAAACACATTTGGGTATATTTTGAATCGCCTATTTGCGACCACATAAATAAATGTACCTATTGACGACTAGTTATTGCATTTGTGATCTTAAAAAAACAATTTATTAAAAATGATATTGGAATGTATTTTCCAGGTGCCGTTCTTGATGTCCGAGCTGCGTTCGGGCCGAATGTTTGGAAATGCACCTCCCGTCAAGAAGCAGAAGGTGGCCCACGCCAACGGCGACCAGTAAACGCCTGGACTTCGCCCCACCGTCTCCCCACGTAACGTGTCCATATATTCACCACAGCAATTTATTTTTTCTTAATAATTTAACGGCCCTAGATACTAGCACTTTAGAGTTCATGCAACGGTCGGCAAGGTTGTCAACAAAATAAAATAGAGAATACAAATGGAAATGATAATTTGATTAAATATATAAAAAATGAACCCACGGCTCGAATTATTTGCCATTTTGGATGACATTTATTTCTTCACAATTAAATAGGCCATGTTTTATGCTATTTTTAATAGTGTACAAATTTACTCATAATATACCTTTACAAAGTAACAGTATAGATACTCGAATTCCTAACTGTATTTTTGCTGGTGTTTTACACAAGTGATTTTTTAACGAAATGGCGTCGTTTTTATGGTTTGTTGATTAGAGGTTATGGTTACAAGCTATTGAATACGATAATGAATATGGTTATGTTCTTGTTATTTTAATTTGTGTTTTATTATTACGTATTAAAATTGTATTACGATTTTTATTTTTCAATTGTAATTTTAAGTGCCGCTAATGGCAATAAAAATGTACGAGCGACATAGAGAATAGATACAAGATTTTTTTTAATGCATTTGATTAAATAGTATTGTCAATATGGTATTAACAATATGTGCATTCCCAGTATTAAGTCGATACTGTTGCGTAATATGGTAGATGCTAAGCTAGAGATTCAGAATCTCGAATATCTTTGGTTTATTTTTTGAAAAGTAAAATAACACGGGGGCGAAGAAGAGTGAATTATTAATTTCATAAGCACAAAATTCAAATCACTACTTATTAGGTATTTAGTTTTTTTGTGACGCGCAATGATTGCAGTTACGTTTCGGATTTTATTTTACAAATGATTATCTAATACACATTTTTTCATAATGTATATTATTCCATTTGCATATATATATATATACATACACATACATATATAAATACATATATAAAATAGAATATGTCGAATAACTTGTAACACCAGAGACATCTTTAATTTGTTGCAGACTTTTTATTACATAAAAATCACGAAACATTTTTTTTTATGATCTATATATATACATAATAGTAGTTTCTCTACTGAATCTCATCTTTCAGATATACAAACACTGCTTACGTAGTCGCTGGTAGCAGATATATTTAGCAAGCATGTGTGTGTGCAAGCAAGCATGCAGTTTATGATTTGTCTGGTAAATACTGAGACTCTTACCAGCTTTTATCCATAGTATATTACACTAACATACAATACATTCATAATTTTTGCTATTTCTAAAGTTATTAAATGCTAAAAATAAACAACAACTTAACTGCAATCATAAAAAAATCACCTTTTCGAATTTAATTGTTGTGTTCTCTTTTTAATTATCTTCTCGCTAACTACCTTTAATAGTAGGTAAAAAGAATTCAGTGCATTCGTGCAGAGAAATGCATTTCCCATTATATATTTTATTATCGAATTTCTACCTACATCCCCAGTGTTGCAAACTATTGGCAGGGTCATGGAAACTGCTATAGTGTATATATAGCGATAGATCTATTGTACTTCTGTTCTGTGATAGTGACTTTTGTGATTATAAAATTATTTCCGTAAACCATAGGTTTCCCTTATGTTATAATTTAGTTAAGATACTTAACTGAATGACAATAAATTTATTTTGTTTTTTTTTTTTTAATTGAAATCTTTGATTATTGTTATTATCAATTTAACGATTATTTACTATATCATAAGTACCCTAAGTTCCTAAAGATTTTGTGTTAAAAATAATTACGAATGACTAAACATTTAAATGAGAGTGTATCCACTGCAAAGCGCGGGAATATTTGACAGCTGCCATTATTGTTTTTTAAGATGTCTTGTGTGCTTACTTGTCTTAAAAAATATATTGAATGTTTTATCTCGTTCAAATGAATAATGTGTGATCACGATTATAGTTAAGCATAGGATTTGTTAATTTTTCTTTTGGCATATTGTGAATTTTACACTTTGTAGTGTAGTAAATTTAATATTTAGATACATATAACATGTAAAAATAAAAATATATTATCGTTGACACTTCAATATGTCGCACGTGAGATGAGCAAAGAACTGTCAGATGTTGTCTTAAAAAGTAATGCCTGATTAAACATTTTGACAGTAACTTACCTTTTACGCTCTTTAAGTATTTTTAGAAAACCCTGATGTTTGTTAAATAAATGTATCAATTATAGAATAGATCAACGAAAAATATAGATTGGAATAGTTAAGTCTCAAAACCATAAACAGATTAAAACACATTTGCGCCGAAACTATGCTTGTCGTTTGTAAATGTTAAACATATTTTTTTATGGTGTTGCCAAAAATAAATTTTGGCTAAACTCCAAATCAATAAGAAATCTTATTAATTAATGACTGATGATAACACTTTGCTCATATTTTTTTATTATTATTCATATAGATTGAGAACACTATAAATTAAGAATGCGTATAAGAAGGGATAAATGAAATGAGACCTTATGGCGTGCTTGTTACTGGCCAATGAAAGTATCTATTAAACATAAAAAAAAAATATACTTTCATATTTATTCGACAGATTTAGAACCCTAAACGATTTCTGCCACAAGGTCTTTTTTTATTTGTATCATATCTAGTTCTACTTACGGCAAGCGACTGTTTAGTGTCAACAATATTTTTGAACAAATTTACAATGTGTAGTGTATTGTGATTACGGACCATTTATGCTGTTAGGGTACTATGCAAACATCACTCTGCACTCGATTTATCATTAATATATAATATGAAACCTATTCGCATCTCGCTCCAATGATATGCATGTTTTATTTTTTATATACGATTATTTTTATCAGTACATATTTTCTATACAGATATGAATAAAATTCATGGTTCTAAGGAGACCGTATGAAAAATGTGTATTCGATAACAATGACCCTGTATACATGTGTTTAGTTTGTATAAATGCCTATTACAAGGTAAATTTTATCGATTTTCCTTTCTTGCTTTGAAGAGAATATTTTCAATTCGGGAAAGTCGAAATAATTGTCGCACGTGGTTAGATATTCGGCGTTGTATTGATCTGAGTAGATTACTATGTGCATTAATGCTAAAATAAACTTTGTAATTGGATCTGGTGCTTTTTATTTCATTAACCTATGGTTCTAATTTTCAAACGACTTCAATGAAGGAAGAGGTATTCTATTCGATTATATTTTTTTGTTTGTTACTTCGATAACTCCGTCATATAAATACAGATACCTCAAAATTCTTTTTTTTTTTTATATGTATGGATTAATTTTCAAATAAGTTTTATAGATTTTTTTTACAACACAGGGGGCAAACGAGCATGCGGCTCACCTGATGGTAAGTGACTACCGCCGCCCATGGTCGCCCACAACACCAACACCTACCCAAATTTTTATAAAATCGGATTTAAACTGTGGATCGCTGATGAGAGAGGAAATTATTTATTAGAATAGAATAAAAAATATTTATTGCCAGTAAACACAATCACATTGATCCATTTATGAATTTGAATAAAGACGATTTGAATTTATAAACCAATTTAGAATTTCTTTTTATCAGTATGAATATATTTTCATTTAAGATTTAAGAGAGAAAACGACTCATACTTTTGATGACATGATCCATTTATGGATTAAAAAAGGTTAAAATATTCCTGATCCAGATTATGGATCCTGATTTTGAATTCAAATAAACCGAGGCGTATAAAATTGTAATAACGTTTTACAGGTTGAGTTAGATTATTATAGAAAAGGTAAAAAAAAAACGATGCGTTTGCTTCATCTTTATCGGCGTAGAATATAAAGGGGCCGATTCTAAGATGCCATTTCCGAAATTTATCTCTGAACCTAATATTTAAATTTGATAATAATAAAAAAATAATTATTAATATAATAATAATTAATTTAGCGATGATTTCGCTGTGACATCAAATTGTAATCTTAATTTTAGAGATAAGTTTATAGAAATGGTATTTCTAAATCGACCTAAATCGTCATAGACGTAGAATACTGACGGATCTGACAAAGATTACATATATAGATCCGTCAGTATTCTACAACTATGACGAAATGTCCACACTGGACTACATCATCACGAATATTTTCAGGACAAAAAATAAAAACATATATTCGGATTAATCTTTCTTTATTTTCAGTTAAGCATAGAATAGTACAGTATCTCAATATCTCCCAGTCTAATTTGACAAGTCGCAATCACGCCTTCCATTATGTTCTCTTTAACTTTATTGGTGTTCACATACACAAATGTACAGTCGAAAATTATATAAACGAGTAATACGATAAGTAAACGTTTGGTTCCTCGAGTGTAACTTACATGATTAAAGTAAACAATCCACTTATAACTAAATACATGATTTGTTCTGCAGTGTTACGTCTCATCTCAACGCCTCTTACAAGATAACAATAACGTTAGTTGCTTGTCATGCTGTTAGTATATTTTTTTTTATACATATGTAATACAATTTTTTTTTTGGTAATAAATTGAACGTCGAGTTCAAACTTAACGTTTTATAACATGTACTATCACAGTGTTACAATATGTTCCGTACAGCTGCGCAACACCAAGTACAGAGATAACTTCGACTAGTACTCAATTTAGAAAGTGGTGATTGTCATATAAAACCTTAATACCATGGATATCACCATAAATTTAATTAGTAATGCCCACGTTATAGTTCCCTTAAACATACATACATTTTATGCAGTGATTTCCACTTTCATATTGAGCACTGTCTGAAAAGTTTTACATTCTGCTACGTAGAACATTTTTGTTACATTTTTGCTTCTGGTATATTCACGCTAGTTTTTGCGTGCGGTTGTTGTGTATGCGGTAACGGACGGTGGCGCCCTCTACTTTACTGTGGGCGTTTTCATCTGTTGCCCAACTGTATGGATTGTAAAACTGTGGTACTTTTTTTTGCTAATATGTAGCAATATGCTGGTTGGAAACGTGATAACTTGGCTTGATTATAGATTGTCTAATGTGTGCCACTAGGTGACGCTATAGTTATATTAGTATTGATATCGTCGTTTCAGCTTAAAACGCACACAATTACAATACAATTGGACTGTTTGTGAATCCGTTATTTCAATGCGGTAGTCTCTTTACAATAAAAAGAAATTCAAAATAAAATACGTTTCATAACGTGATTTAAACTTTCAAATATTTATATTATATATTATATTATATGTAACATTTTCAGCCAGCATATTGAATGATAAAACATGAACAAACATAACAATGCAACACTGTGTGTAGTCACCGACAGACATAAGTAACGATAAATCAACACCACAATGCTCAGTAAGATTGAAATGTTAACTAAAATACACCTAAAGCTATAATAGTACCAAATACTGTCTCTTACATTAAATTTTAATACTTAAAATAAATAATACAAAACAAATCCTATACAGGCTCCGACGCTGCAACAGACGACGCTAACAATAGAATATCTTCGATAGATAGGGATCCACCAAAACTATATCTTGATAAATCACACATACGAAAAACGAATATAATAATACCTACATAAAGTTTGTTTTTGCGGATGTGTGGCGCATCAAAACTTGTTTTAGTGGACCGCCCCTTTATAAAGAACATTTCAAATGGGCAACACATTAATAAAATACGACAATAAAGGGAACCACAACATGAATATACAGTAAAGTCAGCGCTTAATAATAAAATACAAATTTTTAATCACCGTACTCAATAATGTACTTACATGCGATGGTAATAAGAGCTGTTTTTACATTTTCCAATGTCAAAGCCGACTTGAGGTCAGACAGCAAAGAAACACGTCGCGGGAATGTTCAGCGGAGACTGACGCGCGTGTGTAATTACTATAATACCGGTGCAAAATGTCTAAGATAGGTACTACGCACTATTTAGAATAGTTTGTGGACACTTGAGCTCAGTCGGCGCCCGCGCACCGTCACCCATTACCTTTATGACAATATTTTTTTTTTATATAATAAGTCTTTTTTTCTACATTTAACAATAATTTGTTATAATATTTTATAACCGATGTATTTACGAGTTATTTGTTTATAATTTACACGATTTTAAATTTGTTTCAGTGCTCAATATTATATATTTTTATAAAATTCGTTGGCTACCTAAACGAGTGGTGTACCTAAATGAAAGACAACAGGATCTACCATAGGGAATGGAATATACTATACACTTAATGGCATGAAAAGTAATCCACTGTTGCTAATAATGTAAAGCAAAAAAAAAATCACAAACGACCATTGCGCATATCATTCATGCAAATATTTATTTATTCAATATTTGTGAGTCACTTTTAATGCCATTATGTGCATTACAACGGCATGACGGTAACGCGTGTCATTTACAAACTGTCGACTACAATAATAAGCTATATCGTGTTATTTAAATATATATATTAAAACCAGAACAACCAATGCGGCAATAATGAATAAATTGACGTAAACAACACGCGAACCGTATGCCAAGAATTGTAGCTACGAAACTAGCTTATATCTAGGCGCCTAGGGAATACACTACATTTGGAAAAGGGCTTTAAATACGCTCCTCTGGCCGTGTCGGCCGAAATGTCTACTTTTAATTCCTTACGTGCCTTTCATTGAGCAGTTCACCTGTCTCTGTATCCACATATAATTACTACAACTTTATTGCTCGAAATAATAATGACAGATTAACACTGTGCCGTCCCGCGTGCGGCACGCGAGACGCGCACACGCATACAATTCACATACTCAACATTACAAATCGCGAAACCTTTCTCACAGAAAGGGCTAGATAGACACTATAATAGTTTCAAAAATATTAAGTCTTATAATATTCTTCGTACGATTAATTTCCATTATTTATGTACATATGAAGCGTTTTTGTTCCGAAGTCGCCGCTTCGGACTTGGTAGTGATCTAATTATAATAGGAAAGATGTGACGCCGTCGAATTACGATGCTGCTCCCTATCTAAACGATCAAGCGTTATACATTTCATATTTAAACATGCGTTACGAGCACCAAACTTGGCTAAAACAATGCGTGACAGTATCAATTCCACGTTTGAGATAGAAAATTTCATATTGTTACAGCGCACAATGAATCTGCACCAAAATTTTTTTTTTTTGTCTAATATTTAATATTTTCCCTTTCAAAACTTACAATATTAAATGAACATTTTTAAAATGCCCAATAAAATTGTATTAGTGCAGTTTTTTTGCACGCACGTGTAATTTATATTGAATGTTAGAATATAATTAGTAATTACGTTATATTAATTTAGTTATGATATTATAAATAAAATGGAATGAAAATCAAATATTTGAACAATATAATTTTACATTTGGGAGTGCAGTTTCATATTTGTAAAAAGACGTGTACTATCAACATTTTTGTATAAAATGCGTGTCGATTTTGTGTCAAAAAAAATTAATTAATCGAAGAATACAGCTATAACGTCATCCTTGTCTAGTCACATAGGAGTGATACAGACAATGTTAATTTTAAACTTTCAAAATTAATTTAGCTAAACGTTAACCAGATTTGTTCCAGCAAGTGCATTATCATAATATCCAAACGAATTAAAGCACCATTGGAATAGATTCTGTATACAAATACGTTTTGGAAGCCAATTAATACAATCTCACTGTGGTAATATTTAATATATTTTTATTGCGAAAAGAAAGGCAAAGGCCTTGAAACTCTTGCCACTAGAGGGCGCCACCCTCACATGAATAGGATTATTATTAATTAGTAGTATTGTAAAAAGACTTAAATTTTAATAAAATCAGCATAGGGACAGAAGGGATAGCAAGAAATTTTGATTAAAAAATGAGCAATCAGAATCGGTTCACAATAGGTTAAGACATCGAAGTTCCAAAAAAAAAACAAGACTAATTAGGAAACTCGCAGTTTTTCAAGTCGATTAAATTGGAGTGTAAAAAGATAGTTTACTTCAAGTCGACGTTTTTTGTTTAACAATTGACCTTATTTCATAATCGTTATGGTTCATTTCACATAAGATAATTATCTATGCGATAGCCATTTACCCACATGAGGAATTTTACATTGTTTCTCCCATTTCAATTGCTAATATTATATATTATATAAATAATTATATTTAAACTGCAGTCTAACCACACATAGATATAAATTGTTAATCATTAAATGAAATATTTAGTAGTAAAAATATTTTCTAAGTAATACTGTGAAAGTAATTAAGTCATGGAATGAATTACATGTATGGAGAGTCCATCAACGTAACGATTTGCCCTTTAGACAAGTAGTAAACAAACATATTTGTAGATACCTTTACACTCTGACGTATGACATAGAATAACTAGACGTATCTGTCTCGTTCTATCTCATGCGTGAAGTCGCGTAAACGTAGATATTAATAGATTCGTTTGCCATTTGTCTAGACTTATGTCTATTTTATTACATTTTCTAGAACGTATATAGAAATGAAATATTTTTAATATGTGAACATGTGATAGATATTTATTGAATAATCTTGGCCAATTATATTTTGCATGATTTACAAAAATCATGAAAAAACATCGAAAAATTAATAAAATGGACAAAGTTTAGGTATCAAAGTTTACAGAAGTCGTGTATACAAATACTGCTTGATTTATATAAAATATATTTTGATTTTGTGACAAATTTACAAGTATGTTAAAATGTAATATTTTTTTAAAATGCTCAAGTTTTATCCTTCTCAAAGAAAAATAAACAAAACCCGTACGATTGGCACCCATTTCTACTCAAATTAGAGAAGTAAAATTAAACAAAACCCGTTGAGTTAAAATGTAATATTTTTTTTAAAATGCCAAGTTTTATCCTTAGTAAGAAAAATAAGATTACTCGAACATAGAAATAATTCTGAAAATTTAAAACCATTCTCAAATTAGAGAAGTAAAATTAAACAAAACCCGTTTGGCAACCGTAATGTACGTCATTGTGTTAATTAAATTAACAAGAAGTCGTATGTGAGAAGCGATTTAAGCAAATTTGACTTTTCTGTAACGGGATTAAAAGAAGTTTTAAATACTGGATTACTTCAAATTCACTGTAAAATACATATATAAAATATATTTTGATTTTGTGACAAATTTACAAGTATGTTAAAATGTAATATTTTTTTAAAATGCCAAGTTTTATCCTTAGTAAGAAAAATAAGATTACTCGAACATAGAAATAATTCTGAAAATTTAAAACCATTCTCAAAAAAAAACTTAACGCAATATTTTGAAATGGCTGAAAGTTTAGTTTTTGTAAATGTTAATGAAAGCTCTTAAAATTACGTATAAACAGAATAATGGCGACTTTTCATAGATAGCTCGAAGTTAAGCTTGAAAGCTGTTTTGTTACATAACCGAAATATTTTACCTTCGATTCCTATTGGTTACGCGGTCCATATGAAAGAGTCTTATGAAAACATGAAAACCCTTCTGTTGCGGATTAAGTATGATAAACACCAATGGCAAATCTGCGGGGATTTGAAAGTCGTAGCTCTGCTGCTCGGACTACAATTAGGCTACACGAAATTTTGTTGCTTCATTTGCGAATGGGATAGTCGTGATAGAAAAGAGCATTATAAAAAAAAGTTGTGGCCCCATCGTCAGACACTTCAACCTGGACAAAAAAATGTTAAAAATGACCCTTTAGTTAACCCACAAAATGTTTTACTTCCGCCATTGCATATTAAACTAGGACTGATGAAAAATTTCGTAAAAGCAATGAACAAAAATGGAGCTGCTTTTCAATATCTTCGCCAGAAATTTCCAAGATTAAGTGACGCTAAGGTCAAGGAAGGAATATTTGTAGGTCCTCAAATAAGAAATTTATTTAAAGATGATAACTTCGTGTTCAGAAGGTAAAGAAAAAAAAGCTGGGATGATTTTCGGAAAAAACTTCTTAGGAAATAAAAGGAGTGACAACTATGCTGAACTTATAGAAAATATGTTATCATCATTCCAAAAACTAACATGTCCTTGAAAATCCACTTTTTAATTCGCATTTGGATTTCTTTCCGGATAATTGTGGGGCTTTAAGCGATGAACATGTATATTGCCAACATGGAAAAGCGATATCAAGGCCATTGGAACGTTTCAATGTTGGCGGATTATTGCTGTTTGTCGAGATATTCCAGGCAGAATATAAGAGGGCAGCGAAGAGACCACGTCGAAATTCCACTTATGATTAAAAAAACTGTATAATTTCTGTAAATTTTTTAAAAAATCGTCTTATTTTTTTTTATAAATAAGGGAAACTAATTTTAATGTTTATTAATTATTTTTGTGTTTAGTACGTGGAAATCCAGTATAGATACTTTAGGGGTTGTCAACCGGTCGGATTAAGGTTTTCAACAAATTTAAAGTAACCAACATACTGTCTGAATACTTAGTGTTGCTATCGTACATAATTAGGGTTGGCAACTGTTCGTGTTAGTGTTGTCCAATGAATGTGAAGTAACCAGTATAAAGTTAGGCTATGTATGGAGTACCGGTCGCGCGTGTGTGGCTAGTGCTTGTTGTGTCGTCAGTTGAGCGGCAAGCAGAACATGTGCTGCAGCAGCGTGGGCTTGCGCGGCGGCAGCTCCGAGCAAACCGAGTCGTAGTCCGACGACGACGACTCCGCGCCCACGCCGTACGCGTACGCCTGCGCACACGGAAGATGCTGCAGGTTACATTAATACTTTATAAAATTAAAAATGCGGGTCAGAAGAACCAATAAAGGGAGAGCCGCATTCAGTTTGGTGCGGTAATTTTCGCGTGATGCCGGAGCAAACATAGACACAGACAGACAGACAAAATTTCTAAATAATATTTTTTGGCGTCTATCAGTTTTATTACGACTTCTTATATTAATTATTTTTAAATATTTTCTATGTACAGGCAGACAATTGTTACTGTCTGGTGATCTGTAATACAGGTTTTTTCAAAACCTACAGCAGGCACCAGTTTCTCACAAAACTGGTCTATTTTTACACATATATTTAATTGTACATCAAGTTGTTACTTTTGTGAAGAGAAAAATAAACCATTCATTCATTAGTTCAGTATTTTATTATATTAGTAAGATCTTGCCTACGCTCTTAGCTAGTTACCTGCAAGGGATCGTGGTAGGGATGCAGCAAACAGGCGTGTTGTCACACGCAGTCCTCCAGCGACATCAGCAGCGGGTTCACGTACTCGAAGCCCTCGAACTCAGACTGGTCAATGTCCGCGATCACCGTGCTGCCGAATCGAAAAGTATTAATTTATCTTGCACTTTGGAGATCGCAGTCTGATGATGTACTTACTTTTAGCTGCTAAGAGTTAATTATTTACCCCAAACAAAATTAAACGCCATTTCTTTTATGCAACTTACAATGGCAAACAAGCGGACGGCCCACCTGATGGAAAGTGGTTACCGTTGCCTATAGATATGAGCAGTATCATGGTCATAACAGATTACACTGTTTCGCCTATGACACCCCTCATGCGTTGCCACTCCTGAGGACTCAGGTGTTATTCTTTTGTACTCTGTGAATTCACTGCCATATCCCACTCTTCAAATTGAAACAGCGACGCAAACACAACTGCTTCACGGCAGAAATACGAATGGGACAGAGGTGCCCAACCAAACGACTTTTGTACAAAGTTTCACTTTGGTTTCAATTAGCTGTAAGATATGCAATTTAAAATCTTTTTAATATTCTAAAAATTATACAGGTAATATATAGAGAAGATACAGGTGGCTTAGGACAATTCCTTATTGCAGTCTATTGGGGACAGTCCAGCAGTCCAGCAGTGGACGTATTATGGCTGAAATGTGGACGATATATAGACATTATAAAAATTAGAATACACTATCCTAATTAGTACGTACTATTTTTATTGCTGACGTACTATTTCCTTTTAATTGCCTCGCGTAAACCCCTAAAGTTTAAAATTAAATCTAATATTAAAATTGTTTGTATGCCATTTAAAATTTTACTTATGTCAGGTAAAAATACTATGATTGCAAGTATTGGTGTAAAAACTGTGGTGCCATCTAGCGGTCTGGTTGGATACTAACTCGTTGTCGGGCGTGAGGTGGACAGGCTCGTCCGTGAACTCCGGCGGGAAGTTGGCCAGGTCTCGCTCGCCCTCCAGTCGCGGCTTGAACGGTGGTACCACTTGCTTTTGCTCCAACTGGAATAATACGTTCGTAGTTAAGCGAAAGTAAGGCTCGCCATCGGCAGAGAGTTCACCCTCATACCTTACAGCCTAAATGGTCGCGTACAGCGCGGTTTCAAGATTTCCTCCCACGAACACTCAGGTTATAGAATGAGCTCCTTGCCGAGGTTTTCCCAAGAAATTCTTCAAAAGGGGGGTAAAGAGGTTTCTTAAGGGTCGGCAACGCGCGCGTAATACCTCTGGTATTGCAGGCGTTCGTAGGCTACGGTAACCACTTATCATCAGGTGGGCCGTATACTTGTTTGCCACCTCAGTGGTATAAAACAAAGTATCATATTACGGGTTATTGAGAATTAAACTAAGATTAACACTGTTTACCGCATAGGTTGAACAAATTGAAATTACGTTATTTGATATCGAGATTCGTGCTGTACAGTTGATACAAGACTCTTTTTAGACTATTCATGAGATTTTGTCAAAGAAGTTTTTTTTTTATACAACTTAGAATGGTAAACAAGCTGACGGCCCACCTAATGGAAAGTGGGAACCGAGACATGAGCAGTACCATGGACATAACAGAGTATACTATTTCGCCCATGATACCCCCATGCGTTGCCATTCCTGAAAACTCAGATGTTATTACTCCGTACCCAGTAAATTCACGCCATATTCCACCCTTCAAACAGAAATACAGCCATGCAAACACAACTGCTTCACGGTAGAAACACGAATGGAACAGAGGTACCCAAGCAATCGACTTTTGTACAAAGTCTCCCTCTGGTAAATAAATAAAAAAAAAAGTACAAAAAATCGCCGTGTGGTCCTTTCGTTTTCTGTGAGTGTCGTAACAGACGACTAAGGGAACTTAATGGCGGTCAGTAGCGTCCCTCTTAAAATATCATCAAAACCTAACTGCGCTTGGCAACCCACTTGCCAAGCCTGGCAGCTACTGGCAAAACCCCCTAATGGCAAAAGCAGTCTATAATGGATGCTTATGTCCAGCAGTAGACAGTTAACGGCTCAAATGACGACAAAGAATCAAAAGATATATTCATAACAAAACATTGTACATTTTCTAAACATAAGTAAAAACAAATTAATGCATTTTAAATATTCAAGAAATATTAAAAACTAGCGACCCGTCCCGGCGTCGCTCGGGTGAACATTTTTAACATTTCCCTTCACTGCTCCGCTCTTATTGATCGTAGCGTGATGATAGTATACTATAACCTGCCCAGGAGTATGAAGAATAATTGTACCAAGTTTCGTTAAAATCCGTCAAGTAGTTTTTGTTTCTATAACAAACATACAAACAGACAGACAAAAATTTTACTGATTGCATTTTTGGCATCAGTATCGATCACTAATCACCCCCTGATATTTATTTTGGAAATATATTTCATGTACAGAATTGACCTCTCTACAGATTTATTATAAGTATAGATTTAAAAACTTAAACCTACCTAAACTATTCTAAATTCAAACAGAATTATCGTTAACAAAAGATGAGTTCAACAAAATATAGTAATAAATTACAAACGTATAAAATTACCCCTTTATTCATAAAAACGTTAACAAAACATCAATAAAACATCTTATAAACTTATTTTAGCATCAACATCGAACTGTTTTGTAATAGTTAAAACAGGTTTGTAACATGTTTTAATATTTATGAATAAAGGAGTTAATCTTTTCCTTTTATAATATTTATAATAATTGTTCAGGTAACTGACCATTTCCCACTCGATGCTCTTGAAGAAGGGATGGTTAACGATGTCGAGGAAGCCGTTCTCGCCGCAGCCGAGCCGCTCCACCGGATTCTTGTTGAGGAAGCCCTTGAGCACCGACGCCGCCTTCACCGACAGCGAGCGCGGAATACGAATCGTCTTCTCTAGGATCACCTGCAATACACACACACCATTGCGGTTAGAAGGGGAGGAGAGTTTTTTAACGAGTGATAAATTGTGGTACATGGTAATCCCATCTGCGCTATCGGTATACGCTGACGGGACACCAGTGAAAAATGATAGGCGAGGATGAAATCAGGTCTGTTGGCTAATTGTGACGAATTTAATAAGAACTTATCACGACTGTTTCCAAGCAAACCGTGTGGAGGTCGACCTGAAAGGGTATTTTGCTAGCAATGAGGCTTTTAGACTATATTAGTAATAATCGCTTTTCTCTCAGAAAAGAGAATGTATTTTTTTATACCACTGAGGGGGCAAATAAGGATTCGGCCCACCTGATGGTAAGCGGTTACCATAGCCTATGAACGCCTGCAATAACAGGGGCATTACGGCTGCTCACGTAATCCTGGAGTGTGAAGCTGTGGCCCATCAACGTTTAGAAATCCTCGGAACGGTGAGGTCGCTCCCTGAGGCCTGTGAAGATCCCTAGAAGCTTCTGTACTACTGGGCGGAGCTAGGTTGGCTGTACTAGCCATGACTCATACGCACAACAGCCCAAATTAGAGGCTAAGCGCGGAAAATGGAGTCCATTCACAACAGGGGCATTATGCGCGCATTGTCGATCTTGAGGAAAGATATCCTCAAATTCAGTCTGAAAACTATCGTAATTAATTCCTGCTGAATTCATCATCATTGGCCTAATTGATCTGATTTGATGATAAGTGAGGTAGAAGCCTCTCTAGTGGGGTACCAGCGAATGAATATTGGTATCCCGCCAGTATTGGTATACAATAACGTCGAAACCAATAACCATCGAGGCAAGCGCTTTCTTATATGTACCGATTGTTCAGTGCCACTAGCGAAGTAAAAGGGCATCCAGTTACAGGCTCTAGGGGATTTTTTATATATAAAGATGGAATAATGCATCTGTGTATAACGGGGCACCGCTATAGAATGAAATGAAATCAGTGATTCATCATTAATCACACTAGAAATGAACTACGATGGTTTCCGAGGGTGATCACGAGGAGGTCCATGTTAGCAATTGGTTACCATCCCATCATTAATATGTGAATTAAGAAAATCACCTGGAAGAGGTAGTCTTCCGTGTTCTGGTCGGGGTTGTCGGCGGCCTGCGCGATGTCGAAGGGCGAGCGGCCGGCGAGCATCTCGTAGGTGAGCACGCCCAGCGCCCACCAGTCCACGGAGAAGCCGTACTCCTCGCCGCGCAGGATCTCCGGCGCGATGTAGTTGGGCGTCCCGCAGAACGTCGACGTCGTGTCGCCGGGCCGCACGCCCTCCTGCAATCATACTCAGCGTCAGCGTTCCACTACTCTGACAGTTCGCTTCACGGCAGACCGTGATGTAAGACAGTGGTATCTGTTTCAGAGACTTAGACTCTCTACCTGAAAATACAACAATACAAGTGCCATACAACTATGCAGGTCTTTCGTCGCAGATTTTCTGCGGCGTCCAACAAAATATATCCAGATATTATCAGGCGCACCAAAATATTTGGCAAAGGGACGCAATGAGCTGTTTATTTACGGTATTCGTTCTGTGAAGGATCTATCGTCGGTGTTAAATGGACAACGTATTTACAAACATAATACAATGCACCACACCAGGTGAGTGGATAAACTCACGACAGATCATGCTTTGATATGATAGTGTGACAGAGTGGCAAACAAGCATAATGTTCTCTATATGGCAAGTGATTATCGCAGCCCCAAGACATTAACAACACTAGAGGATTTGCCTGTGCGTTGCCAGATTTTTAAAAATGTATAAATCTTTGATTGAAGGTCCCCAAATCGTATTTAATCGGAAACAACGTTACAGGTAGTTTATTCTACACGTCTTCAAAGTCCTTGTCAGCGGTACCTTGCACATGCCGTAGTCGGTGAGCTTAATATGCCCCTCGTGGTCGAGCAGCACGTTGTCCAGCTTCAGGTCCCGGTAGATGACGCCGCGCTCGTGCAGGAAGTGGAGCGCCAGCGAGATCTCCGCAGCGTAGAATCGCGCATGCTCCTCCGGCAGCCGCCGTTGCCGCTGCATGTGGAACCTGCCATAGACACGCCGATCTTTATAATCTTTTCATATATGCGGTATGAGTACAACAATAGATGGAATATGGCAATAAAAGTACAGGATATGAAGGCATAATATCGTCATCTTGATTATCAGTCCACTGCTAAACATAGGCCTCCCCATAAACTGTCATAAGGAACGGTTCTAGCCAACTGCATCTACTGACTCCCTGCAATGCATTTGAGGTCGTCACTCTATATAGTGAGGGCTCATCCTACACTGTGTTTACCCGTATGGGGTCGCCAATCAAGAACCTTTCTTCCCAATCGGTCCCAACACTATGGTCCTCAAGAATTGCAATGCACGAGAGGTATCATAGAGAATTCTGTGACGTTTATGGTGCTGTTACGTTTATAGGAGGGGAGTACCGCATTCCACCAGGTGGGTTGCCAGCTTATTGTCTACTTTAAGTTTAATACCAAAAACCATACAGTTTGCATGATTGTATGACGTTCATTATAAAGATAAATATAGCAATCCTACCTAAGATAGAAGGGCTTTTTCAGTTTTGTCGGTGTTACGTATCAGTTTTTTTTAGACTGAGGTGTTTGAGGGTTTTAAAGAAGGGCAAAGAGATAGAACTCATATGAAATCTACTCCATACATAAATTACAAAAAGTGGTTTCTCCAGAATGAGATACTTGGGGTCTCTTAGAGAAGGATAAACAATCACCTCCTTTCATGAACTGTACTAGTTTCTCCAGATCGAAATAGACGTCAAAAGTAGCAGAAGAAGTATAAAATGGAACTCACATGAGATCTCCTCCTCTCACGAACTCGATGACAAAGAAGAGGCGGCTCGGCGTCTGGAAGCAGGAGTGTAGCCCGACGAGGAACGGGTGGTTGGACGCGGTCTCGAACACGTGTTTCTCGGTTTGCACCCAGTCTATATCCTCGTCGTCTGTCACCAGCGCCTTTTTGATCACCTTCATCGCGTACACGCGTTTCGTTCTCTTCAGTTCTACCATTAATACCTGCAATGTGAAAATAATTCTTAATGCTCAAAACATGGTTCTTTGTTTGGTAGTTAACAGCTGACATAGTACAGTATTTATTATATAAATAATTAGAAGTATATACATACTTCAAATTATTTATATTCATTAGTGCCAGTGAGTGCAGGATTAAAGTTTGTAATGAATGATTTCTAAAAGATTACCGATCAACTTCCAGATGTCTTTACAAATTAAGGTTTAAGAGAAGTTATAAATTTAATTAATTTTAAATGAAACCAATTACAAATGCTGAAGGAAATACAATAATATTGATAAAGTAAAATTGTAATCGAATACGGAATTTGTTCTTGATCATATTTACTTTAAAATATGAGGAAAATCTAAAGACATGAGAATTATTTTTACTTTTAATTCAATATAGATGTGTAACAACCTATGTTTTTGCATTTGCAAAGCTTATTATTAGCATTACTTTGCTAATAAATTTCGGTTTTACAGATCTTATTAAAAAGTACTAATGTTAGCCTTATAAAGTGAAGCACGTTAATTATTGAAGAGCAGGGACAAGTAATGATGTTTACGTTTCAATATTACAACAATTGTACTAGTAAGTCAACAGCTGGGGGGAAAGGGATTGTTAGTAATGGAGACTGAGAATCCCATTGCTAGCAATATATCCAACAAGGTCGACCTCCTCGCAGTTCTCCCTGGAAACTATCATGGTTAATTCCTGATGAATTCATCATGATGGGCTAACTAGCCTGTTTTCATTCTCATCTATGACCCTTCACTGGTGCTCCGCCAGCGTATCCCGTTAGCGAAGGCGGGGTTACCATACCATTTTCACCAATAAAAAAAAATAGTAAGTCAACAGCAATAAAATAAAAAAATAAATAAAAAATTAAAAAGTAATTGTGTTATTTGATATAATTTATGTGTTCTTTGATATCACTAAAATGTACCTTAGCGTATGAGCCCCTGCCGATGACCCTGATGAGCTCGAAGTCCTCGAGCGAGTACTGGCGCTGCGAGCCCGGCTCGAGGTCCTCGGGTCGGACCGGGGCGGGCGGCGCCGGCGCCGGCGGCGTCTCCGGCAGCGGCGGTTCGGGCTCCGCGCGCGATCTGTAACAATGCAAAGAAAAATTATTGGTTTTGATAAACAATTAAGCTGTTTTTATTAGTACCACACAAAAAGGAGTTTCAATCAATACGGGAGGTAACTTTATTAATTTCATGTAATGGTGACTATAATGTACCATTGAAAAATTGAAAATTTCTATTGTTATTCGACTAATTCACATATAGATTGAATAAGAGGACTTGACGGATTCTCATAGTGGTCCGATACACCCAAAGACTCTAAAACATACCTGAGACGAGAGGAAGGGATTGCTAACAAAATACTGTAATGTAATGTTGTTATTTCCACGCGGTCCGTTCGAAAACCATCGTGGTTAATTCTTGGTGGATGCGTCACAATAAACTGATCTGACTTCATCCTCACCTATAATGCAGGTAGGGTTACCAGTCCATGTTTATCGAACTAAAAAAAACATACCTGACAGATGACGCCCGGCCCAGCGTGCTCTCTCCGTTGGCATCGTCCTTGACTTCGACAGGGTCGACGTGCTCATTGGAGCAGGGTTTCTGCACCAACTTATGGCACTTCTTGTGCACCAACAGTTTACACTGGATGCATTTGAAGCCTTGCCGCCCCAGGCCCCAGATTCGGTCTTGGCAGAAGGCACAGAAGGCGCGCTGGAATATAAAAACAGACAGCGATGTTACATAGATATAATTTATTTAACTCGAAATAAAAAAACAAGATTAAAAAGTAAAAAAAAAATAGGACTTAAAGAATTTTTCCACTGCATGAAATTAGAGGCGGTTTTCATAGTTATGTTCTTGAAGGTACTCGTACATCTTAAAATCTGGCGTATGGTTTATCTTGATATGTTATTTAAAAAATGGTCCATTTAATTACTTTACTACTTTCGAAAACCACACGCACGATATATTATATAATAGCAGGAAAAAATTATAAATACATACAAGTTATTTTTTATTGGATCTCGAGACTAAAGAAAATCATATGTTAAAAATTAAGAGATGTATGATGTTCATAACACGACAATTCGTCGAAATTTGGTAACGCGTTACTCGGTCGGTGTTTGCATAAGTCAGGGTAACCTAAGTGGAAGTAATACTATACTCGTAGTAACTAAGACGGCAAAGGACATAGCCTATTTTTTTATCTTGGTCAATTAATATATCCCGGTCTTGCAAACGAAGATGCAGGTAAAAATAGTAATACATAGTTGTATAAAACTCACTCTGTTAAATCGTTTGGCTTGAAATATGTGTCCATTGACCCGGTAAAGCTTTCGCCACCGCCGTGCACCGCGTCTGTATATGCTTCCTGGAAACAAAATACGGTGTTGAGTTAGAAAAGTGGACGGACATATGCTGAAGATTGTCATTACATATAGGGTGAAATCGAATTAAGCATTCATTCAAAGGTGTTCTAACAGTGAAACTGAATACTTTTTCCAAAAGAACATAGGTTGATAAACGATAAAGAATTTGAGATTACTATATATATATATGTGTGTGTATATATATATATATATATATATATATATATATATAGTAATTAAAACTTAGTTTTAATATACGCTACTAATATTTAGCTATACCTAGTCTGTCTTATTGATGAAAATATAGATAAAGAATAATTGACCAGATCACAAAATTGTCTGCTGAAGTCCAAGAGTAAAACAAATTAGAAATAGGTTAATAAGATGGTGATAAGATATTATTAAGGTACTTAACATAAGATCAACTCTAAGCAAACTAGCTTTTAAACATAAATTGCGTACCTATTTCTTAGAAAAATCACTTCCCCTTTAAACTCTGTTTGAGTCATAAATTGTTATTTGCTCTTCTATTAGAGTTAATTCTTTGATATAGTAATATTTTATGTATTTATTTTTGTATATTTTTAATATATGTATATATTTATTTATTTAATATATTATGTATATGTATATATTAGTCTAATTATATGTTTATATATATGAATATATCAAGTATTGCTTTATTTTTCCTCTATTCAATAATGCACCGCCTACTTATTTCTCGGTTTTCTCAATGGTTGACTGACAGAGAAGAGAACACCGTCCGATGTTAAGTTCGCCAAATATACATAGAATTTTACTGTGCATTAAAGTTTAAATAAATAAATAAAAGATTGATTGTTTTGATTTGTTATTAAGTTACATTGAGAGTGTTTCCGTAATAATTTCTATAAACCTTGGTCACCTTGGTTCTATGAACTTAATAAGTAAAAGTATATTAAGTATAATAAGCGATCTACTAATGTAGATCGCTTATTAAGTGTTGCCAAGAAAACAAAGTTCCTACAAAGAAATTCACAATCTTTTCCTAGAAAAATCCCAATTGGGTAGCTATTATTCAAAGACTTCTTTTTTATTTTTAGAATAAAAAAGTAAAAGAATAGAAATCTAGGACGAAATAGAAAGAGTTAAGTATAATGAATTTATATGAATGAATTTAATGAATACATGTTGGTCATGCGGACCAAGTCGCGGGTAAAAGTTAGTCATACAATAAAAATACGAATATTTGCGAATTTTAATTAATAGTATTTTATAAATAACAATATAAGATTTTGATTTACAAAAAAAAAAAACATTGTAATTAATAATATAAAATAATGTGTACACTAAGAAGCTTGATCAAGTCATTTTACAAGTGACAAAATGATACTGAAACAAGCACTTACATTTTAAAGTCGCACGACTGTCTACAGACCTCTTTAGAGTAACATTATAAGTGGAGTAACCAAGTATCCCATTACCGGTCCAACCCTTTATAAATCAGATTAGCAGAGGCTTCAGAAGCCATGCTTTTGAATATCAACCTTCAAGGACCATCAAAGGTAACGATATTCGATTCAGGTAGATATTTCGAAGTGTTAATAATAACAAAATAAGAAGACGTGTTTGTGTAATTTATTGGTAACAGTTTAAATTGCTCGCTGCCTATTGTTTAACCAATATCGGAATTAACGTGTGATTTCAGATTAATAAATATATATTCACTACGTACGTACAGTAATAACAAAACCACATTAAAATTCTACATTTAAACGAAAACTGTCAGCTTTGGCCATATAAATTTGCATCAAATCATGTTTCGTAAATTAAAATGAAATAATTTCATTAACACAACAGTGTTGCCAGAAATTAGTTTTGTTAATACCTCAAATTATTAAGAAGAATTATTAATAGTAAACATTGTTAATTAACATTTAACTCTTTTTATTATTTTTCTTTATTTTAATATATTGTAATAAAATAAATGTATGATTCGTAAGGCGTGTTTAATACTGAATGATATTCTCTCAATTTGATGGAGTATGTAGCGATATATTTTTTTTAGTAACATATATTGTAAAAAATATAAGGCAAGGAATATGAGGCAAAATGCTGATTCACCTTATACGATATGATGATTTTTGAAGGAAAAATAGAGGGTAAAAGAGGAAGGAGAAGCGGAGAAATAACTATATGTGATAGATAAAGGAAAAACTAGGTATCATGTCGTACAGGGAGATCAAAGATATGGCCTGAAATAGAGCTGGCTAGAAGAGAATGTATGAATTAGTTGCCCCGATAAGAGGAAACTTTTAAATGAGGAGAGAGAGAAAAGAACATATAATAATAAATTGTTAAAATTAATTATTTGTAGTTTTAACGACGCCATTTAATGTGGCGAAACATAATGGATATAACTAGAAAATGTAACATACCAAATGATTCTAGCAAATAAATTTAATCACAATAAATTTGTAACCACATTTGTTCATTTCATTTCAATACAAACTGTGTTTCAAACATTCTGAATATAGCTGTCACAGCTGTCAAATACAAAAAAAAAATATTATATTATTTATATATTAATTACGGTGGTTCCATAACATAAAAAATATTAAAACCCTCCTCCTGCGATCTGTTTAAAAAAAATACAATGCAACTTCCTACTCGATTGTGATACTATAAATAATTATCATGGATAAAAATAAATCCTTTATAAAACAGCACTATCACAACAAGTAAGGATATCCGCAAAAAAAAAAAACCGTAGATACTGTCACAGATCACTTCACACAATTATAAAATAGAATGAAATACACGTCACCTGTGAGAAATTTGAGTCCTGGAGTACAAGACATGAGAGACAGTCATGACAACTGTAAACCAACACTGTTTGTGAGCCAACTGATATCGATGTCTTATCGACATTATCTTATCGACTTAAAGCAAATTTTATGAATCAGTCTAATAAGTTAATGGATAAAAACCAATACTTGTATCTTATAATTATTAAAATTGTAACAAGACGATGTCAGTACATGAGAGTTATTTAAGAAAAAATGATATAAGGGGTCTTAATAAGAACAACAGAAGCCTAAAATAACAATTTTTAACTGTCTATCCAATCTGTATGTTTGTCCCAGTATAACACAAAACGACTGAACCAAATCGGATGTGACTTTCACATTTGTATTCTTGAAGGTTGTCTCTTATGTTTTTACAATAATCTCAATAGGACACAAAAACTTACAACTTTAAATTACAAGGTCTATCTTATAAACTATGTTTGTTTTATCTTATACACTATTTAGAAGTGATCTTATTTCCTTAGTTTTCTTAATTTTGAAATCTACGCGAACGAAATAGAAGGCAAATAGTTGACTATAATTTTGTTTAAGTGAAAGGAAGTAGTTGCTATAGTGATCAGATAGACCTTGTTCAAGTCACGAGTCAAGTTATTAGAATCGACGTGTATGTATGAAACAAATTATGAAATTGGATGAAAGAACAAATGTAAGTGTGGATAGAGGCTATTGACACTCGGTTTACTCTGTCTACCAAGCAAGGAACTTTCAAATGTTTTAATAGAATTTAATGCAAATGTTCACACAACTTATTCGACTATAAGAGAGTCAGTTGATGATCAATCATCATATTAGCCGTTAACTGTCCACTGCTGAACATATAGGTCTCTTCCATAACTGCCATAAGGAACGGTTCTGAGCCACCTGCTTCCACTGACTCCCTGCAACGCATGCATGTTGACCAATAGCAGTCCAAAATCGATTAATTGATAGAACGTCTTTTTTTTTCAATGTCCTCTATCCAAAGGTTGTCTGGAAGAGACTACTTAGAGATAAAGTCGCCTTTCGTATAATTTCTCATAAAAAATACTGTATTTTTTATTTTAATAAATGGTGTAATAAAGTGTAAATAAAGAAATGTTTTAACTTGGTTCTAATTTAATTTAGAGAGACAGACTGAGCGAATGTGTGTGTAAGAGAGTGAGTGTGAAAGAAAGAAAGAAAGAGAGAAAGAGAGAAAGAAAGAGAGAGAGAGAGAGCGAGGGAGAGAGACTGAGAAAGAGAGAGAATTTAAATAAACATACCTATTTATTTAAGTTCTATTGAAACAGACAGCTTTTGAGATGAAGCAAGAAAAAGTAGACCATAGGGTACTTTTTGTGCAGTAATTCAACATATTTTGTTCAGGCGGATGACGTTGCAGATAAAAACTAGTTATTTATGAATTACGTTCCCACAAGGCCCAAAAGACTCTCATTCGGGGGGCACGCTCCTAAATTTAGTGGAAAAATCCCTAAGCTGGAAACCCTGATCCTTAAACGATATAAGAAAAATTGAAAAATGAGTTTATAAAGCGGGCACGTCAAATTTCCATAAGTTTGCGGAAGCGGGCACCACCAGGGTCGTGTCAGCCCACGAGTGATTTATGTCGCATTCGATTATGAACTTTATCTCACCGTTATGCGGTGGCATCCTATAATAATTCAGGGATTTTAACTATTCTTAGCCGACTTCAAAAAAGAGAGAGTTCAGTTCCAGTTACCTCCGATATCCGTTATTTATAAAACCATTTAAAAAATTCTTTGTATGTCAATTTACCTAAATTCTTTCAAAATTAGATTTAGAGTTATTATATTTATGTCGAAAAGAGTTTAAAGAACAAAAGTAGCAATACAAATGACTAGCTTTAATCCGTGATTTCACGCGCGTGACCGGGATACGTTTACTTGGGATGAAAAAGTCCTATCCTATAATCATCTTCATCCCATACTAACATGTATACTAAATTTAATAGTGATTGGTGAAGCCGTTGAGACGCTATAAGGTGACATACAAACAAACTCACTTTCACATACATATACCTACTAGTAAGGTAGGGGGGAAAGGGATTGTTAGTAATGGAGACTGAGAATCCCATTGCTAGCAATATACTCAACCAGGTCGACCTCCTCGCGGTTCCCCCTGGAAACTATCATGGTTAATTCCTGATGAATTCA